GTGAACTAAGCCTTCTCTCATGCAAATGCAGATGGAACTATTTTTACCTCGATCGAATACACATGTAAGGGATGTGTGTGCGTGTGTGTGTGTGTGTGTGTGTGTGTGTGTGTGTGTGTGTGTGTGTGTGTGTGTGTGTGTGTGTGTGTGTGTGTGTGTGTGTGTGTGTGTGTGTGTGTGTGTGTGTGTGTGTGTGTGTGTGTGTGTGTGTAAAAGTCAGCATACATGGATTTCCATTTCAGGGTCACATGTTCAGAGGGAGGAGAAAGAGGTAACGATGAAGAGTATATTTATAGGAGCAGCAGGTTATCCCATCTCGCTGTGTTTCTCCACTTCCTGGCCAAATCCAGGAACTTCCTGTTGTTTGAGTATTAGCTAAATTATAAATCCATGTGTTGGTGTGATAAAGGAAGAAGAAGAAGAAAATATCATTTCTATAGCGCCAATAGACAATTATGATTAAAAAACTAAATGTTAAGAAAGAGAGAGAGTGAACAGGAAAGAGGGAAATCAGTGGATCCTGAGGAAGGTGGAATAGGTGGGGAGAGCAGAATAAAGAGAGAGTGGTGAAGAAGGTCATACAAAAGCCAGCTTGAAGAAGTGAGTCTTCAGCTGCTTTTTAAAGGAGACCACTGAGTCCACTGATCTCAGGCTCAGGGGGAGAGAGTTCCAGAGTCTGGGGGCCACAGCAGCAAATGATCTGTCGCCTTTGGTCTTTAGCCTGGTGCTGCACAACCAGTAGGCTTTGATCACTGGACCTCAGGGACCTGCTGGGGGTGTAGGGACTAAGAAGATCACCAATGTATGATGGTGCTTGTCCATGTAAGGCCCTATAGACCAGAACCAGGATCTTGAAATGAACCCTGAAGTTGACTGGCAGCCAGTGAAGCTGGAGGAGAAGCGGGGTGATGTGGGTGTGTTTGGAGGACTTGGTCAGAAGCAGAGCACAGGCATTCGGAACCACCTGTAGACGGTTCAGGGAGGTTCTGCTCAGACACGTGAAAAGAGAGTTACAGTAGTCTAAGCGTGAGGAGATGAAGGTGTGGAGAACTGTCTCAAGTTCAGAGCGGGACAGAATGGGACTCAGCTTAGCAATGTTCCTGAGATGGAAGAAGGAAGAGTGAACAAGAGAACTGACATGAGAATCCAGGGTGAGAGCTGGGTCAAAGGTCACACCAAGATTCCTGACAGAAGGTTTGGTGTGAGAAGCAAGCTGACCAAGAGAGTCTGGGAACCAGCTTGTCTGGGGCACAGATGAGGATCTCCGTCTTATCTCGGGATGGGTACCTTTGACATTTGAATCGATCCGGTACTAATTCCCGGTACCTAGGAATCGATACCGGTACTTAACTGTACCAATTTTTGATACTTTTGAGTGTTTAATTTTTTAATTCTCTTTTATAATTAAATATATATTTTTCTCAATTTATAACCATATTTGATAAATATCACGATAAATAACACAACTGTTTGTATTTTAACATCATCCTTGTAGTTTTATAAGCTGATAATTAAACTGAAGCAAACATCTTTACTGTGAAATAAATTTACTGTGTATCTTCATTCCTTTTACCGTCTTTTTCCATTTGATTTTTCCTACTGGGAAGTTAGAATTTCTGAGGAGAAAGCGAACGCACCATTAGCTGATAACAATGGTGGCATAGGAAGCTAACATATCAAGCTAACGCTATCTTAAACAGTTTATTTAATTGCTGGAGCAGATTTACGGTTTTTCTCATTCGCTTTGGTGCGTTTCTCAGAACACTATTAACCTTTGCACAGCAGTTAGTGCATGTCTCAAAACAATTAGTGCAAACTGCAAAACCTAGTGGATAGCCTGCAAAAGCACGTCACATGCTCAAAATTGATAATCCATTCCTCAAAAGCAAGTATTCATGTCAATGAAACTGTCGGTGCCATCAAAATGAAAAGTCTTGACTCCATCTCTATGAACAAGATAGTCAAATGGCTTTGTCATGTTTTCACTATGACAGTTTATAATTTCAGTGTTTTCCATTGCAAGAATATTTGGTGACACCTGAAAATGCTCAAGACAGCACTATGCCCTACTTGAACAGCCATTTGAAATGTGCAGTAAAGTTACTGTAGACGTTATGGGAGTTGTGGGAGTAACTGAGACACTGAATACGTACGTTTTACATTTTTACTGTATAGAAGTGTTTGTAATTCTACAGCATTGTGCAAAAGAAAAATATGCTACAGTCACTTGTTTACTGTAGAATACATGTAAACAAAAAACCACCCTTTTGGTAGAGCTGTGCACAAATGTGAACAATATACAGTACATGTAACAGTACATACAGTATTGCACAGTACTGTAACATACAGGTACAGTAAATCATTCTGGCACATCCAGACGTTCCTGTCTGTCTGGCCACATATTTTCATCTACATCACAATGAATGTCATCCCTCGCAATGCAGCGAGGAAAGTATCTCTTGGAGTGGAGAAGTATACAGAAGTGTAGAAATGGTACACACTAGCTCCTGCTCAGTTCATATATGCTTGCCAATTGAGGATTCACCTCCTCATGAGTGACAGATGAAATTCACCTGTGATCAATTGTTCAATTTAGGAGACATTTCCAGAATAAAATGATAAAGAAAGGTATAGAATTTGCTTGACAGATGACTAATATTTGACATTTGATAACTAGTTCAACAATTTTGTGTGTAATGACTCAAGCAATGAGTAAGACTATTAGTTTTATTGAGAGTGACTATTCAGCATCCATAAGTATAATTCATTTTGATTGACATGACATAAGCAAATGGAAATGTCAAAAAACAGCAGAGAAATGTATGAAAGCAACTGATACATGTCCAAAATCATTTGCAGTTTGTTCAGAGAAAGGAGAAATTGCTACTATGATGTGCACAAATGACTAAATGTTGTGGAGGTTGAACTAATAGTTATGAGAATTTTAATTCTGATCTGAGAAACGCACCAAAGCGACTGAGAAAAACTGTAAACGATGATGCCTCACACTTAAATCGTTGTCACTGGTTTCATCTTCACCCAATCACCCGTCGCATTTAGTAAAGTGAAGCCAAACTTTAGAGCGCATTCATGTTCTTCTGGTCGGAATTTCGGAGTTCCGAGGAGAAAGCGAATGCACCATTAGTGAAACGGAAGCTAACAAATCAAGCTAACGTCATCTTAAACATTTTATTTACCTACCGGAGCAGATTAAGATGAGGACGTCTCACTTAGATCGTTGTCGCTGGTTTCATCATCACCAAGTTACCCATCACATTTAGTGAAGTGGACCCAAGGTTTAGCTTTCGTTCTTTCTACCATGCTGCTCTGTTAACAACTGACTCGCAGCGAGCGACGACATAACGCTCTTGCGCATGCGCAGCTGTCTAGGCAAGTTCTCGTTATGAAGGATGGGTACCGAAACGAGGCACCGTTTCAAATGACGGGAATCGGTGCTCGATCGGTACTGTGGAATTCGGTCGGTACCTTAAAAAGTACCGAATTCGGTACCCATCCCTAGTCTTATCTTCATTCAGCTGAAGAAAGCTCCCACCATCCAGGTTTTGATAGAGTCTAAGCAGGTGTGTAGACAGGAAGTCAGACGTGTGCTTTTATGGAGATTAATGTTTAACTTGAATCTGTGATATTTCTTTGCTGCTGATTTTACACCAAAGTGAGGCTGCTAGAGAAATTCAGAACATGCAAAATTAATAAAAGTTGATTAAATACACTTTTCTGCTGTCATGTCATCGTAAACTGTAATACCACAAAGTTTTTCTACTGGTTCCACTGAAAGCTTCAATACTCACACAGAAATGTAAATATGTGCAGGAATCCCTGCTTCTATGGAGTAAAAATAAAGGTCTTTATTTTTTGTGTTTGTTTTGTTTTCCAACATCAGATTCATGAGATTCATATTTGACTCAGGTTATTTTTATCGTTTTGTTGAAGTTTTTAGACGTTAAAGGTCTAGGAAGTGTTTGTACGGTATTCTGAACACATTTGATCAAAAAGATCAAAGCTAGAACCATCTTGTTGAGTGTCTTCTATCACCAAGTGTCACTTGTTCAAATATTCTTTATTCTAATGTAGATTCATGCTGTATTTTCTCATGTTTCAGCTTTGTGTATAAAATGCAGATCTTAGCGGTTTTGTAAAAGTGGAACGTTAAACCAGCGCGAGCAGACGGAAAGGTGCCTTTTTCAGCATGAATGGTTTGTTTTGTAAATGATCCTAAAACCAGATAAAGTTATCATGTTTGACAGGAAACATCAGATTCAAGTCATGACATCAGCATTTAACTCCGCCCACGCGGCTCCTGGCTGTTTGGTCAGGTGATCGTGTTTGACTGACAGATGTGGGTCGCCAGGGGAACGCCAGGGTGATAGTTCTCACATGTGTCTGTCAGCTGAGCTCACTGGGCTTATTTACTCAGCACCTGGAGCGAGATATTTAGAGACTGGGTGGAAATTCACTTCACTCTCTGCTCTGATCCCGGAGCAGGGTTTACCACCACAGCCACCGTCATCTGAGCCCAGACCTATCTAGACCCGAGCCCTTCCTGCAGCAGAACCCCCCACTAAGTGTGTTTCTGGGCCATTGTTCTGAAGTCGGTTGGTGTGTAGGGTGGACGAAGCTCTGAGATGCACTCAGAACCACATAAGGAAGCTGCTAATGCCCAGCCCAGCAGTCGAGGGTTAAAGTCACGGGGAACAGACGGAAATGAGAACATCTGGGAACTGGAATGTTTTAAGTGGTAGAGCTAAAAATAGATAAGCTTTTGATTTATTTCTGCATTTTCAATTCAACTCATACAGCACCTGTGAACATTTATGTTCATTCACATCACATAAACGCCAGATTGCATCAGTCATTTCTGCTTTTCTCAATCAGAAACGTTCCTCCATCAACACAGACTCCCTGGTAGATGTTTGTTTGTTTACTTCTTTAGCTATGTGGATGATTTGTTTAGATGAATTTCTTTGTTTCTGTGTTTACAGCCTAAGGGACGGAGGGATGGTCAATCCTCAGCTGGTGACAACCCTAGGCCACCGTTGGCGACCCGGCCGGGAAGAGAGGGGGTCGGCATGGGCTGGAAGGGTCCCCGGACACTGGTTCTCCATAAGAACTCCCAGGGTTTTGGGTTCACACTACGCCACTTCATCGTTTACCCTCCAGAGTCGGCGCTGCACACCAACCTGAAGGTGAGACCTGCTGACGTCTGCAGAGAGCTTTCAAATGATTTTTCTAAGTAGAATTTATACTTTTTCTCGCCCTGTTTTCAGCTTTTGTTTCTCTTACAGTCTCTATTTAATCCCAACGCTTTTCTAAACATGAAGTCAGGACAGAACCAGTTCGAGCCGATCACACGGCAGCTGAAGCTCAGCGAGGTCGAATAAAGTAAACACAGAAACAAGAAGGGAAAACAAGCTCAGCTGATTAGAGACAACACATGAAACATATTCAGACTGCTGAGTGGCTTTACAGGCAGATGGAAACCAGGTTTGAAAATAAATAAATATAAAGGGTCTCTGATTTTTACCTTTTAAAAATATAAAAGGCAGCTCGGAACCTCTCCTCTTGTTTACGTCGCTGATGCTTTTGTTCTTTGTGAATTAAAACTTGTTCTGGTGTTTTGTGGAACAAGCTTCTATGTGAGTGAGTCGTTATTTGGCCCTTTGAGGTGTGGGGACAAACGTCTCCAGATGTGAAATTGAGGGATGTGGAGGCTGAGGTGGGGTGGGGAGCCTGAAACAAGACCTCCATTATTGTTTCACCATCCACCAGCTGCAGACGGAGGAACGCGGCTTGAATGAGTTCAGTTGTCTCAGGCTTGTACCACTGCTGAGCTGTCAGGTCGTACCAGGCCGGCCTCAGACAATAGGCCCACTGCTGGCCTGTGGTTTCTGTCCTGTCCTTGTGTCCACCGTCTCAAAAGAGATGAAGTCACACGGTGTTTGTGGACAATCAGATTCACAGAACTCTCTGTTTTATTCAGGAGAGGCTGTTTTGAAATCTTCCTGATTACTCACGCAAAGTCAAAATTGGGTTTGTGACTAAGAAAGGGTCTAACTTCTGACTGTCTGCAGATCCCAGAAGTCCTCCAGCAGCTGTTTATAGTTTTAAAGCCAATTCAAACCTTCGTTTAACAGATTCATTCAGAAAAATGTCTTTTTCCTTGTAATGGAATGGAAAATTATAATGGAGTTTTATGACTTCACTGCTATTTGATGCATTTGAATAAAATAGTTACAACATTACATAACATCTCCAATCTCTGTGATGTTTCCTCATAAACATTTCCACTGCCATCAGTTTCCTACTTTATTATTTTTGCAGACTTGACCCCCAGATGAACCAGATGTGCTACGTTTTATCCTGCTAGTGGTGATATTTACATTAGTAAATAATCACAGACATCTATGTAAAAACTAAAATGCATGTTTGTTTTTTATAAAAATGTTTTTTAATGTACTGCCTTTTATTTCTCATTCTTCTTTATTTTTGTTCCTCTGTGCTCTTGTTGTCAATATAATTGCTACTGTGACACCACTGCAGGACAATAAGGAGATTTTTAATTTTAATTTATAAAGCCTTTGACCATTTGAAGGTTTTTAAATTTTCATTACATGAAGTGCTGTAAAATTCAGAAATTGGAATTGTTATAGCTGTGGTTTGGTCTGGATGGGGTGATGTTAGCTGAGCTCAGACTAGCTGTTAGCTCATCAATCCTTCTGAATGTAAACTAATTGTTATTTGCACGGGGTAGGATAGTCATTATTTAGAATTTCCACACAGAAAAAAAAAGGCAGAAAATGTTTCTTTATTCCCGTGAAATGAATAGAAATTCATATCTAAATGTGTTTGTCTATCTGTATTAAAACAGTGTGTAACATAAAATGTGTTACCATTCAGTTTCACCATCTGTATCAGGTATCAGCAGGCTCAAACGTGTAACTGTACTGTACGGCCACCTTCCCTTTTTGGTGGTGGATGGGGTGATGTTGGGACTGACCTGTCAATTCGTTTCTCCAGCTCCAGGTTCTATTCTGGGGTCGGCGGCCATTGTCTCTAAAACGCCCCACTATTGTATGTGGAGCCTGGAATGAGCCCACTCAGCGCAGCAGAAAGCTGGGCAGCAGTCAGCCCACTGTTCCTAACCCCAAACTGCTCACTCAGCTCACTGTGTGTGTGTGTGTGTGTGCGTGCGTGCGTGCGTGTGTGCGTATGTGTGTGTAGCTGATCAGATGAGCTTCAGCTATCAGATATCACCTCTGTGTGTTTGTTGCAGTGCACAATGTCACGTGCAATGCAGAAAGTCTGTTTCAGACATCAGCAGCTTATAAAAACAACCGAGCTTCCTAACAAGCTCCAGTTCTGGATTCAGGAAAATCTTGTTCATGTTTGTAACTCATGCTGTTAACCCAGGAATCACGTTCTGCCTGCTGCTTGTGTGACATCACTAAGGCAGTTGCTGGTCTTGTCGGGACACAGTTCACCAGCACTGGAGCTGAGTGGTTTTCCTGTAAGAGGAAAACTCAGAATCAGCATTCAGTAAAATTCCTCTTTGTTAAAACGGCTTCCATATGTGAAATTCTACGCTGGACAACAGAAAAGAAACACATTCTCACTGATATTATCAAACATTCCTCATCTTTTCTGACCCTGATCTGACTGTGTTTCTTCTTCTTCTGTCCTATTCAGGATGAGGAGAATGGTAACGAAAAAGGTAAGCTCATCTGCTTCTCTGTCATTCAGACAAAGTAAACTTCTCACTTTTGATGTAATGAGGTGAAGAAGCTGTGGGCTTTGCAGTTTCTCTGCACCATCTGCTGGTCATTGTGCAGCATTACATCTGAAGTCCAGCCCATCTGCTGGCTTCAGGAGCTTTGAGCAGACAGATTAGAACAAACTCAGGATGTGAACTGAGCTGATGATAAATGACCCGCACTTGTATAGCGCCTCTGAGAGTAAGGACTCCAAAGAGCTTTACACTACAGTGTATCATTCATCCATTCACACACACATTCACACACTGATGGTGATGAGCTACGATGTAGCCACAGCTGCCCTGGGGCGCGCGCCATCGGTCCCTCCGACCACCACCAGCAGGCAAGGTGGGTTAAGTGTCTTGCCCAAGGACACAACAGCAGAATTCTCTGTCCGGAGCCGGGATCGAACCTGCAACCTTCCGATTACTGGACAACACGCTCAACCTGTTGAGCTACTGCTGCCCCGTGATCTGGGTCAGGACTCCTGTATGGGTCAAGAAAGATCTGGAAAGGTCAAATAAACTCATACATCACTAAAAATAATCTTAATTATTGCAAAAACATAACGAGTCATAGGTAAAAAAAAATACTATATATAATCAAACAAGCTGCTTATTTTGGTGTTTCTTTACTCCATGTAGAAATATTTATGAATCTCTGCAGCTTCTTATTTTGTTGGTCCAAAGCTGAAGCATCCTCTGTTTTAGACAACAATTGAAATGGCTTATTGTTGTGTTTGTTTATGGCCATGTCTTTTTGCAACATTAGCTCACACCTGAGCCCTGTAGGTTTCTGAGTCTCACAAAATTACATTTATGAAGGATGTTTGGATCAGGAGGATAAACTTTATGTTAAACTTTATGAAATGCGTGTAGTTTATAGATATATTTGAGGCTGGAAATTTTCCCTTTAATAGTAAAGTTTATTAAAAATCTGTTTTTCCACCCATTGTATCCCACTTTTCTGAACACAAGTCACAACTCCTTTACATAACAGGGTGTAAGTACCAGTGTACTAAGTACTTGAATGATAAAGTGTTTTTGAAGGTTTTTAATTTGTTTAAAGGGGCATTATGGAAGTTTGACAGCCAAAACATGTATAGAAATAATACATTTCTTCTTCATACATTCTCCTGCAATGCCCTGGTCCTGCAGAATGAGCCCTGGCATTCTTACTGTGATTGCCTGTTTTTCTGTAAATTCACAGAAAAAGAGAGCTGCTCGGGTCGAGCAGGCTGCTTCATGCGCGTTCACGCTCAGGCATAGCCCATAGCTTTAGCAGCAGAGAGAGAGGCAGTGCCACTTTGTTGCTGTTCCTAACGCCCAGTGACAAAGCTAGCTACATTTCTGAGTACCCTTAGCTACTTTCTGTAGAACTTTCTTCTAGATATTTCCTGCAAATTAGCAACAAAATAGCCATTTTCACTCCAAACCATTTTTAACGTTGTTTCAGCTGTCATCAAGGATATAAATTTTACAGATACAATGAATGGTCCTGGCGCTTTAGCTCACCTAATAAGACGTCGGACTCCCATGCAGAAGACCTGTGTTCGATTCCGGACGTGAACATAATTTATTTAGAGTTTCTTTTTTACATTAATGGTATATATTTTTACAGTAAGATGCCCGAATTTTTATTTGAGACTCGCCGAACGGCATTGAATTCACAGATAAAAAAGATGTGAGCTCAACTTTCATTTTGGAACAGAGCATGCAGGAGGACTGACCCATCATAAACCTTTGTTGGCTGTGCTGAAGAGAAAGGTACAGAACCAAATTATTTAATTAATTAGCTGGGTGTTCTCCTGTCCTCTGTCCTCCGGGCCACACACACACACACACACACACACACACACACACACACACACACACACACACACACACACACACAAGGGACTGTCTCAGCTGTTATTTTCGTAAAGGAGTGTGCACGTACAGCATGCGCGCCTCGTGCACGAGCCTACTATTGAAGCTGCCGTTATGCTTTCGGCCTGAGGGGGTAATCACGAGCATAAAAATTCAAAACTCCGTAAAGTCCCTTTAAGTTTTAATAACATGCATGAAACTGTTATTGAAATTGGTTGTAGTGCAACATTAAGGTTTTGGAGTAATTTTGTGCATAAAAGTTCTGTTGATTCATCTGTGAGTAAGCATCAATGTAAGGTGCATTAAATCTTAAACTTACAACTTTAAGTAACACAATCTGATTTTGGTTAGAGTGTAAGAATCCTAAAATGAAAACCCAGACTTTTCCCAGTTCACAAGGACATTACATCATATGTTTATGTGGCGACGGTGGCACAGGAGTTAAGTGCTCGCCCCGTAATCGGAAGGTTGCAGGTTCGAGCCCCCACTCAGTCTGTCGCTGTCGTTGTGTCCTTGGGCAAGACACTTAACCCACGTTACCTGCTGGTGGTGGTTCTTAGGGACCGGTGGTTCCTGTGCTCGGCAGCCTCGCCTCTGTCATTGCGCCCCAGGGCAGCTGTGGCTACATCGTAGCTCATCACCATCAGTGTGTGAATGTGTGTGTGAATGGGTGAATGACTGGTTGTGTTGTAAAGCGCCTTGGGGGGTTCAGGACTCTAGAAGGCGCGATATCAAATACAGGCCATTTTTACCATTTATGTTACTTTATGTCTCTGTAATAATCAGATTAATATCTAGTCAATATCCAGGTTCTGTAGTGACATAAGCAGGTCTGACTCTTGCAAATGTCTGAACCTGTAAACATGTTTAGCAAAAGCAAAGCATAAAAGCCGTAGTTGATGTGTGCCACAGTAGATGGAGCCTTTTTGTGTATTTGCATGCAGATTCTATCAGAACACAGAATCGGGCGTGAGGAAGCATTCTGCTTCAGGTGTGAGCCATTTACCTGGACTCAAATCACCTGAGGTGCATCCCAAAACCAGGTGCTAACGGGATATTCTAAAGACCAGAGGATGCTCATGTTGTCAAGAGAAATGCATCTTTATTCTTAAAGACCAAAATAACTCTTTGGAGAAAGTTCTCAGTGTTTATTGTCACTAATAAGTCCCCCCCCCCCGACCCCCCCCCCCCCCCCCCCCCCCCCAATAAAAATGTTATTTCTTTGTTTTTGGTCGGGCAGAGTTCCAGAGGGGTCGACTGGAGCCGATGGACACCATATTTGTGAAAAATGTGAGAGAAAAAGGCCCGGCTCACCAGGCGGGCTTGTGCACAGGTAAAAGGAGCTGATGGTGAATGAACGTCTTGATTTGCATGATACATTTGTTTGCAGGGACACACACTGCAGCAGAGGCTCTCAGCCGCTGACATAAACCCAGACAAGCTTAAAACACTGTAACTGACACAGATACGGGGTTCTGCAAAATAGCTGACTGTCCCTTCTGATGGTGATCTTTTTGGTAACATAACTCAGAGCCCCGGATGGCGGCTCAGTTCTCAGGTGATCTAAAAGGCTGCAGAGGTTTTGAATTTCTCGCAGGCTCAGCAGGGCAGCAGTCGTCTCTCTGCAGCTCAGAGGACTCAAACTGGTTTAGAACACCTGAAATGTGACGTCCCTGCCTGAACATATGCAAATACACACACGCATGCACACAATCAGCATTTTATGTGTGTTTTTTCCACAACACTTCCAACATACCTTTGTAGCTGCACATAAATAGGTAGCTGAGGTATGGTGGTGGAGGAGTCTTGGATTTTTGTTCAAATTAAAAGGAAAATATTTCAATCCAGTCAGGTTCAGGTGCGCTCGACACCGTTTCTAGTTTTCTACCCTTTCTGGCTAAATACAGATCATGAGCTTCATGTTGTGCCTGCATGTTTTTGTTTAAATTAAACACATGCACCTTTTTTTTTTAAATCTGGTATTTCCTGATTCCTTTGGTGCCTTGATCTCTCAGGGAAATGAGTCCCTGCTCAGTGTCTCCATTGCTTGTTTCTTTTGTCCCATCTGGGGTTTTCCATCAACTTTAAAGGTTAGTTATGAAAATTTAAATGGAGATTAGACGTGAGGGTCTGTGTGTTTCTGTTCTGCAGGGGATCGACTGGTGAAGGTCAACGGAGAGAGCATTCTAGGAAAGACGTACTCACAGGTGATCGCTCTCATTCAGAACAGGTAAAACCTCTCTTGTCTTGTCAGCGCTGAGACGTTAAACTGTTGATTTATTGATCAGTTTGACTCTTTGCTTTCTGAACACAGACTTTGATCAGCTTTTAGAAAGAGTACCCTGGAGCGGAGTACGTCACACTGACATGTTTTACATGATCTCACTCTGAGATAACTTGATGTTCAGAAGGAGGAATTGGGGACTTTCAAATAGGATTTTTTAAATACTTTCGGCACCTTTTAAACTATCTCGTTTGCAACTCTGTCAGGAGCTACTCATTCTGCAGACTTAAGAAAACATGCTAATAATGCATCAAAATGTGTTTTAATAGGTAATTGTGTGCTATGACATTTGGTAATAGAAGAAACACAAAATTAAAAAAAAATCTGAAATTTCCCAAAATACCTCAATAGAACTGAGGAAACAGGTGAGAGAGCCCCGCCCACTTTGGACACTAGACTAGACATCACTGTAGAAATGACACAGAGTCACAATAATTTGGGCTTCACTGACGTTTTGATGTCTTTTAAGGATTTTATAAAAATCTGTTAATTTTATTTATTTATTTTGTTTCCCTCAACTTTAAACTGACAGTTGATGACGTCACACTAACTTTGAACCCTTATTAGGGTGAGATGCCACATTTGATCACTTGTGCAGTTATGATTCTTTTTAACGCTTATATTACCTTTAATTTTCTAACGTTTCTGGTGTTTGAGCACAAAGAAATGCACATACAAACCGTCCTATAGAAATATTATATAATATTTCATATGTCTCAATTTTTTTACATGAATTTAATCCTTATCTTCAGCCCTAACAAAAGATAATAAACAATGTGTGTGTTTCTGAGATTTAACCCCTTTATTGCCAGGTTTATGATCAATACTAGAATTGTGACAATATGAAGAAAAGAAATTTAAATAATCTATAATTCTTTTTAATGTTTTATGTTCAGATTACTTTTTGGGGGTTAAACTTTCACAGCCTTGGAGTGTCACAAATAGGCATAAAATATTTTTTGCTCACTTTATAGTTTTAGAGTAAATTCGTATTTTCTAAAAAAAAGTCACAATTTTAACTTTGGTGCACAAAAAATGTAGACACAATAATTCCTTATGTAATATTTCATAACTCCCAATTTTTTTACATGAATTTTGTCCTTGGCTTCAGTCCTCACAAAATATAATAAAATATTTGTGCGTTCCTGAGATTTAACCCATTTTTTCCCCCCTTTTATTGTCAGGTGCATGAGCATAAGCAGAAATGTAAAAGAAAACTATACATTTTTTTGTGTGTTATGTTGAGATGATTTATTTTATGGGAGAATTTTCAACACAATGGGGAGTCATAAATGGTCATAAAATATTTTCATTGAATTTATTTTATTTGAATGCAGCGTTAGTTATTTCCCCGGTATGCATAAGAAAAAAGCGCAATCTAGTGGAAAACATAAAAAACTCTAAATTGAGTCTGCAACTGCCTTGGGAACCCAGACAGAATAATAAATAAATAATTAAATAAATATATATAGGTCAACCGAGAGAGCATTCTGTGTGTGTGTGTGTGTGTGTGTGCGCGCGCGTGCATGTGTGTGTGTGTGTGTGTGTGTGTGTATATATATATATATATATATATATATATATGCTTACTAGAAAATAATGATTTACATGGGAGTCAATGGTGGTAATGCTACAAAATGATTTCAGTGTTACATTAAATGGATTTGGGAATTTTTTTTTATTATTTTTCATATTTCCCCCAAAAATACGTAACACCCCCCCCCCCCCCCCCCAAAAGATAAATTGCAGTAGCATAGCCAAAATTAACCACAAAAATACATCTGTCTGCTCAAAAAAAGCACTTAGGCCATATAAGGGTTAAAAGCGAGACAAAGGTCATTGATGTTGAAGTTTTAGAAACTAATACAATGCAATATAATTCATTGATACAATAACCAGAACACTCAAGACATCTTGAACTATTTCATTGAGTGCCATTTCAAGGGTTAAAATAAAAGCTTCTAATTTTTTCCAAACAAGGAAAGCCTTTGATTTGTGTTTGTGCATCAGACTTCTATCTCAGCTGTTTTAAAAGAACAATGATTATGCAGAATTTAACGTTCTAGTTTTTTTTACACATGGGGTCAAAAACGATGCTTTGTATCTTAGTGAGTCATTGCATTGGGCAGCAGCTGCATGTGCACCCTTTAATACAGTAACTTTCTGTGTTTTTGCTTAATTTTACCACAAAATTCTGCGCTGAATATTGTATTGAAATGTCGTTTTAGCTGCACAGAATCTCAGCGGGAGCTTCTTATTGTCACTCTCCTGTTGTGTGTTCTGCAGTGAAGGCGTGCTGGAGCTTTCCATTATGCCAAAAGATGAAGATGTGCTTCAGCTGGTGAGTGACGATGACGAAACGCGTGTTTTACTTCCTCACACGGCTGTTGGGATGCTGCTGAGCGGTGTCTGAAGAGACGGTCCGGTGTTCACCACCACATCATCGAGGAAGAACGTAGAGCATGACTCAGACTCTAATGTTTATATTACAACACCTATAAAGATCCTCTTGTATGCTGACGGTTGACGTTTGTAAAAAAAAAAAAACAAAAAAAAACCACAACTCCAGCGCTGAGTCACACACACCCAAGTGCTGCACAACACATTTTTGTCGCTCCACAGGTTGCCTCGTGCTCCTTTACATGATCCGACATGCATCACTGATGCGCCTCCCACTAACCCGCAGCAACACACGCGACCAGATCTAAGGGATTCTTCTCACACAGAAGCATCAATGCTCCCTCCAAAAGAGACCAAAGCTGCCTTCTGCTTTTAGGGTATCTACTTTTTAAACGCATTATGAACCCACTCCTCCCCTCCTCCTGCTGCTGTGCCTGTATCTCCTGCATTCCTGGAATGACATCAGCAGTGCTGCGCCTCCTTCTGCCCTCCCACAGGGTGGAGTAAGTCAGGGAACCAGAGGGTGGAGAGTCTGGTAGGAGCTCGGTGAGGAGAAAACAAGTTGATCAACAGACAAGAGAAAAAGTACAGCAAAAGAGGCAAAAGGGATTTCCTAATAAGTAGGTTTGGAATTATGAAGGACGGAATCTTTTAGCCGCTGGAGTGTTGCGTTGGGAGTGTTGGTGCGTATATTCTGTTGGTGCTGTTCAGAAGCTCAATACAGAAACTTTGGAGAGGCTTCGGCTTCTGTTGGAAGGTCCAGTTAGGCAGGTAAACCTTTAAATGTGTGGTTGTGTGATTTAAACCAGAAGAAGTAGAAAAATTTGTACTGAAAATCAAGTTTAATCTGTATAAAACGTTAACTTTTGTAGTGATCTGAATTGTGAGTTTGTTTTGGTTTGATACTTTAAAAAACTCAGTAGAGGCAGATCTACATGTTGGTGCCGAACACCCGTTTTTATGCTTTTTTCTACAGAACATGAGTTTGTGTTGAACTCTGATGTCCCGAGGACAAACTGTGAGAGGTCCAGTCGCTTTAGGCTTTAAGGCATGCAGCCGTGTTAAATTGAACTCTTTGTCTGTTGTTGACAAACTCGTTCGTATTGCGAGCACATTTTAATTCATTTGAGATTCTTACCGGGTGACTCCGATCCAAATGGGCTGAAGTCATCAAAGCTTGTCTCGCGCACCTTTTTTGTCTTCCCACTGTGTCTTGTCTTTTCTGACTCCTTCATTTTCCGTCTCCTCCAGGCGTACTCCCAGGATGCTTACCTGACGGGGAACGAGCCTTACATCGGGGGAGCTGAGAATCTCCCCCCACCACCTCCTCTGTGTTACCCCCCCACCAAGAGTCCTGGAACCCCTCTGTCTGCTCACATGGTCCAGAACCAGCTGGATAACTGGAGTTGCTGGCCAGGCTCTTCCAGCCCTTCATCACCTTTGGACAACCGCTCTGCTGTAGGCAGCCCAGCCAGCTGGCAGGAGGGGCGAGCAGGTGAGCCAGGAGGTGTGGGTCACAGTAGTCCAGCTCATCGCACCGAGGAGATCCAGTACGGTATGACCAGCCAGCAGCCTCAGGGTCAGACCAGGAGACGCTCCTATTCTTCTTCCTCCTCATCAGGAGGTCCTCTGTCCAGCCCGCTACAAGTCCACTACCCCAACCACCACGGTGCCGTCTCCTCTCAGGCTCTGTCGCGCAAGTCCAGCTCAGCCTGGACCAGCCCCCCTATGCCTCAGGTCCGCCAGAGCCGCAATGAGCGCTGTCAGCAGGCTCTGTCTGACTGGTACCACAGCCAGCAACCTGAGCACTCGGGACGCAGCATGCAAACCCGCCATCGCAGCTACTCTCAAGATCGCCTCAGTGACTACCGGAGGCAGCAGCGGACTGGTGGCTGGCCTCACAGTGCCTCCCAGGACACCCTCTTTTTACTGCAGCAGTCAGGATCAGGTGCTCATGGTGAGCCCCGCTGGCCCAGTGGAGACTGGGAGGCTGGGCCTGGTCGGGGTCATCCTGCCTCCAACTACACTAAAACGCGCTCCGAAAACCTACTGGCCCAATATGACCGCCACGGCCGCTCGTTAGAGATGCTGGATCGAGCTTCAGCAGGACTGGTCTCGGCCCGCTCTGAGAGGCAACCGTGGTCCCAGCAGGCCTCTCAGCCTTCTCACAGGACTGATGCCTACCCGAGGCCGAGGTGCCACACCACGGCAGCACAAGCCTCTTCAGTGCCTCGACATTCCCAGCCTGAACACCAAATGCAGTCTCAGCAGGCCGCTCTTCGAAGCAGGAGGCTCCCCGCTGGGCAGAGCATGGATGAGCAGCAGGGCTACCGCAGCTACAGCCCCTCTTTCTACCGCAAGACAGGACGCATCCTGCAAGCCCACTCCTTCAGGGACCCGTCTTACTCTGGGCCCCACTTGAACTGGAACCCAGTCCCTAAAAGCAACGCCCCAGTGGTAACATCAGCACCTCTCACCGCTTCTACTGCATCTCCTCTCATCTCTGTCACTCCTGAATCCCAAAACCGAGCATACAGGCCGACAAACCACGAGAGGGAACGAGGGACAGTGGACGTACAAGGAGAGGGGACGCAAACCCAGGAGGTGGTCCTAAGGCAGAAAGCCACCATCAGGGGAAGGAACACTAACAGAAATCCTCCTTTTGCGCTACGTATGGACCAGCTAGAACCCGGGTTGTTCTCTCCTGATCCCAAAGACTCAACTGGTACCACTGGTTCTGCTGCAGACGTAGCCCCGCGCAAACCTAATGGCAGCCTGGCCCCCCTCTCCTTAGAGGATGACTCTCTGGCCTCCATCCCATTCATAGGTAAGCTAACAGCAGCTTGGCCTTCAGTTTTTTTCCGGATAATAGAAACAAACCTTTATCATTTTTATCTTGTCTGATTCTGGATCTGGTTTCCATTTTCTGTCTGTGGATGTTTGTGTTGGGTTCACTGGGATTCCCCACAGTCCAGAGGACAGACTGTCCTGATCTTACACACAGGAAGTCCTCTCCTATTGGTATTAACTCATTCACTGCCAGCCGTTTCCTGATCGCTAACGGCCTTCGCTGCCAGCGTTTCTCACCGTTTTTACTGTTTTTTAAGAGTCACAGAAGGTTGCGCGCTAGCATGATGTCGACGCCAAAACAACCAAAACAAAGAGGAGACTCACCTCTTACATCAGGAAGAGTCCGCGTGTTTCGAGCGTTATCCGTTCTTTCATAATCCGTTGTCGAATTGTGATCGGCAGACGCTTTTCCGGTTCGCGCCTCGCTTTTTTTTACAGGAAAGGTCCAAAACGATCTCCAAGCACATGGATGTGTTGCTTCCTGATCATGTGATCTGTGACGTATGCGGATGAAGATCGGCTTCGGGGCTGAGATGTTTGTTCTCTCGGCGCGGGGGCTCGTTCCGATGCTCAAACAGTAAAAAAAAATACAAATGACGACTTTAGTCGTCATTGGCAGTGAATGAGTTAAGTGTGAGCTAAAGACCTCTTTACTAGATTGGCTTGACTTTGTCTCATCACCTGCTGTTTAGGTAACGTCATCCGCTTAGCAACGATAAAACCCTGAACACAAAGGTGAACGTTTTACTCCGTATAAATGTGTGTTTACAGTAACGCAGCTGTGGCCTACACATGTTGCTGTCACTAGGAGGTAACCATAGCAGCCGTGCAGGCTTCAGATTGGTTTCTGTGCTCTGACGTGAACATCAGCCACTGAGCCAAACCAGAGGCAGATGGAAGTTGGTGCCCTAGCCCTCGTCGCCCTGTGTCGCCGCGGCTGTTTGCCTCTCTGCTGAACCGATTCAAATCATCTGACTGTGAGCAATGGCGAATCGAGCATGGGTGTTTGCACCTGGCTGTGTTCTGATCCACAAACCCATTCTCAGGGAGAGATTTCAGATGATTAAGTCACACCTCTGGGTCCAAGTTTGGAGCACATTCTTGCTGAATCAAACGAAACCAAGCAGTCAGAGCTGCAAGCCAGGGCACGTTTAGAAGCCATAAACTGAAACTAGGCTAGTTTCTCCCCGTAGAGGAGGCATAGTGCTCCTCGTCTTCCTTCTGTCTTCGTGTCTGTCTGGTTGCCACAGACTCTAATTTGATCTGGGACTGTCAGGGAGCTAGTTTGTCACAGGCGGCTGTTTTTCTATTAGTCCTGAAAAGCACAAATGCTTGTGAGAAAAACACATAAAGGCAGCCTGAGCTTCTGGCCAAATATGTTTTATGATGTCTTTTCAGATCCTAGGACTAAGATTAAACGTTTTAGTCTTTTTTTGCACCGAATGTGAACACCAAAGAGTAACGTGGAGCTGCAGCATCACCAGCACGGAGCCTTTTATCTGGAGTCTAGGCTGTAAATTATCTGGAGGTTTTTGCAGGAAACAGATCCATACATTTGTGTGTCTGCTTCAATGCTGCCATTGTGCTGCTCAGATAGATGAACAGATGGCTGTGGGAGAAGCTTCAGACTGCCTTTACTAAATAGACCCAAACCCAGGCTGCCTGTGGTTCCCACCAGCTTATGAAAGAGGCCTCCTTTGCCCTTGTCCCACAGGCTAGGAGATTATTGGCAACAGTTAAATAAAAATGTTGTTTAAATTAATTTAATCCTGCTAATTTAAGTTAATATATAATCTGTTAAACCCTCGAAAATGTGCCTGGGACCTGGGAATATGGCTTAATTTATAAATAATTAACACTGATTGTTGCTGGTGGCCAAAAACATTCCTTGCTTTCCTAATTTCTGTCTTTTACTCCACACACGTTGGAGGAGGGAGATGTGCTGCTGTTCAGCGTTTTGCTTCCCTCTGCTGGTGCGTAGCGGTCTTGTTCCTCTGAGCTCAGCCTGTGGCCGCCGCCTAATGACGGTCTCTGTTAAACCCACACAGCAACTATTCCTGGACCCGGCCATAAATGGGACAGAGTCCTCCTCCCAGACCGGGAAGGTTTTCTGCCTAATGTGGCATGCTAATGTGATGAGAAGTGTCTGACTGATGAAGGAAAAAAAGAAAATGGAAGTAATGACAGACTGGGTAGCTCTAGATGGAGCTGAGGTGGAAAATCAGTAAAAAAAAAAAAAAAGAAAGAAAGAAAAGGCCATGAAATAAACTCAGAAGTGTTTTAAAAAATATTTCTGAGGCTGGGCAGCTGTCTGCTGTTCGTGTGTGTGTGTGTGTGTGTGTGGGGGGGGGGGGGGGGGGGTGTTATATCTCTGTAAAGTTGGTTTAAACTCCTGAATGTGTGTCCTAAAAAAAGTTTAATGGTCTTCCCTTTCTAAACACCAAAGATGGAATGACATCATAAAAAACATCGGGGTTAAAACAAACATTTAGCAGGAAAAATCAGTTTTTTATGTGTCTGGATGTTTTTATGCTGTGTGAATGCTATCATAGACCTGATAAAGAACTGAAACCTTCCGCTGCTGGGTTCTTGTCAGCCACTCGCCCGCGTTAGCTCCTGATCAGCTCTTCCTACGGCAGCAGACCACTCGGGTACTCTGTGTAGCAGATTTGATCTTTTGGTTGTGGGGAGTATTCCTGAGAGGCTGCTGCAGGTTTTAGCTTCTTTAATCGTCTGTTGTGGCTTTGTGGTCTGTCTCCGAGCTGTGATCCAGGGCGGTTGTTGAAAATGAAAGCGTAAAATGATTTTGTTCGGGACCTGACGATGATGCTGTTCCCCGTCGTCCTTTAAAACCTCTGTTCCTTACCTTTCCCAATCCATCCTTTACGCTTCCTGGACTCCTCCCACCTCTCTGACTTTATATTTTCTCTAACACCTAACCCTGTCCCTTTATCCTTCTCCTCCCTTTCTTCCACTCCTCCATCTCTGCCTCCACCCTCCCACAGACGAGCCGACCAGTCCTGGTGCTGATTTGCGTGCCCGCCACGTGCCGGCGTCCTCCGTTGTGTCCAGCGGCATGAGTCCAGCACCCGCCGCGGGCACCAGCCCCGCCTCCCCCACCTTCACCTTCCCCCTCACTAGGCTCTTCTCACATGACTGCAGTGAGTGCCCCCCCCCCCTCGCCCCCTTTTACCCCCTCTGTTACTCGCCAAAGCATGCAGCAGAAAATGTCATCTGTATTTTAATTTTTATTTTTTAGACAAGGAGTTCTAAAGCATGCGTGAGATTATAAAACCTGCATGGTGGTTGTGTCTAATTTTAGACTTTACTCAGGATTTACCAGCCTCTCTCCTTTCATTGTTGTCTAGTCAGCCATCATCGTCTGTTATTTGGTATTGAATCGGATGTTCATTCTTATTTTTCCATAATAAGTTAAATAAAGTTTGTTTTTGTGTAAATGTCTGATAAACTTCCAAACATCATGTCAAAACAAATTTAAAGGCTAAAAATTGCTTTAAAGAGAACGTTTTTAGGTGTGCTACAAAATATTTTAGTTTTCTAAACTCTGAGAGGTTTAGCTTATTGCTTTAGCCGTGCACGATGACAGAAAACATGCATTTAGAGTTTTATTAGTCGTCTGGTGTACGTTTCTCCGGCTCAGATCTGCATGATTTTGTCGTTGCCGTACTTGATAAGTGCATGAGTCTGTGTTGATAGCGGCTACGCCTGCATGCTAACGGTGAGCTAACAGTCCAGATCTAACCCACTGTTTTAGTTCGTGTCCCCTCCGTCCATGTCCACCACGTCACTCGTTCACTCACAGGTTAAGTCCTCCACCTTCTCCGTCCCTGCGTCCTAACTCAACACCGTCCATTTGGGTGATTGGCATCTCATCGACACTCAGTCCTTCTCTCTGTCTTTTTATTTCTCTCTTCTTCATCTCCGTCTCTCCACTCATTCACCCTGTCGCCAAGCAGGAAGTATTAAATCGACTCGCCGTTCCTCCTATCTTCTAGCCATCACCGCCGAGCGATCCAAGTCATGTGATGAAGGCCTCAACACGTTCAGAGAAGGGCGAGAGTCGTAAGTACCAAAGAGAAGTGTCATCTGATTCACACACTGCTAACGGCTAACTCTGGCTTGTTGTTGTTTTGACAGAAGGCAAACAAAAAGGGGGAAGACGTTCTTGAGAGACGGGGTGAGTTGTTCCAGTTCGATCAGTAGTGTTTCTACTCTACTCTGCTTCTTTGTAAGCATACATTATAAATGAATAGGTAGGGTTAGGGTTATAAATCTACCGTACATGTTAAATAAGAGCCCATTAATGTGGCCGTGTTTATACATTTTCCTGTGTGAGCTTCAATTTGGTGCATGTAAAGATGTTTCCTGCAAACAAAAGAAAGTAGCCCACATCAGGCACTTCTCCTCCCAGTGAGCTGGTCTGATCTTGGTTCTGAAACCTGGATGTTCTGAGGAACGGCTTCTGCATGGCGGATAAAACACTGCCGTAAAAACCATTCATCCTGTCTACAGAGTTGCTTACGCAGTCTTTAGACCCCGTTTTGTGCGTAAGCAAGCTTGACAAATGAGGCCCCAGATGATCCTGCAGACAAAAAAAATCCAGATTAATAAGTTTTGTGCATTTCTTTTGTTGATTCAGCTTTGCACGTGAAGATAAAATGTTGTGTCCTAAATATTGGGGCTGAATCGGTGAATATTTTAACTTAGAAAAGTGAAACGGTTGCAAAAGGCCACACATTCCAATAGTTTTTTTTCTAAAGGTTAGAGCTAGGGATGGTGTATTTGGACTTAGAACGGTGGTTCAGTGTTCAGGCCTTCAAAGTAACATGTCAGAACTATTTTCTGTGTTTTAGTCTCTGGACAACATTGGGACGGAGGAGGTTCGATCCAAACGACACTCCACCTCCGAGCTGGGAAACATCACTTACAGCGACGTACGGAAAGAAGGATGGCTTCACTTCAAACAGATCCTCACGGAGAAGGGCAAGGTTCGTGCCCCGAGCTCACAAGGACACAATCAAACATAAAAAGATCCAACTGGAGCTGATGTCATTTTTCCTTTTGATTTACAGAAAGTAGGCAGTGGCATGTGGCCGTGGAAACGGGTCTACTCGGTTCTTCGCACCCATTCGTTGTTCCTTTACAAGGACAAGAGGGAAGCTGTGCTCGGCGGGGCCAAGATCGGAGGCACAACAGAGGACGAGCAACAGATCAGCATCCAGAGCTGCCTGGTGGACATCGCTTACAGCGAGACCAAGAAAAAGCACACGCTGCGACTGACCACACAGGACTTCTGTGAGTACCTGCTGCAGGCAGAGGACAGAGACGACATGCTGGAGTGGATCAAGTTCATCAGGGATGGCAGCAAGACTGACAGCGAGGTCAGAGGTCACACTGATGCCGGTCAGATGGGGGGGGGGGTCTCACAGAAATGGAACGCTAACATGTTTGTTTCCTGCAGGAACTGTTCTCCAGACAGGCCCTCATCAATAAGAAGCTCAATGACTACAGAAAACAAAGGTGAGCTCACTCTGACTCGGTTCAGTCTGCGTTTCCCACATTTAGAGCAGGAAGGAATTAGCCAGATTTGTTTCACATCCTCTCATTTCAAACCGTAGATCATGACTCGTTCACCAGGTCCCAAAAGAATTTTTCCTTACACTTTATTGTTGACAGAAATGCTGTCTGAGGCGTTTGCATCTTCTGATCCAGAGTCTGTGAAGGTTGTCCGTTAACACTTGAGATATGCCGACCAGTGACCCAGATTATGTTCGCTGGGTGGAAGAGTGTCGATCTGGTGTCGATCTGCTCTGTCGGAACAGGAAAGCCTTAAACTCGTGTCTCTGTCGCCCCCTGCAGTCCGACATCAAGCAAACCGGATTCGTCTCCCAGAATGCATCGGATGATATCTCCATTCCTGCTCAAGACAGAAAATGCATCCGGAGCACCGCGCTCCCCAAAACCAGAGGTCAAAGGTCAGTGTGATGAAAAGTCAAAGCAGCCTCGCTGCAGCTGTTGTAAGGGGTTTAACCAAACATGAAACTGAGACAGACAGATGAGTACATGACACAGAATATCAAACAGCCTCAAACCATAGACATTAAAGCAACATATGTATATAATTAAAAAAAACTAATTTAAAAAAGAGAATCTCTTCTACAAAAATCCCACTTTATCAGTGAATCTGTAAAGCTGGGCGGACACTGTGCGACTTTTTCACTCGTAGCACTCAGCTTCAGCCCAAACTGTACGACCTCCTCGCAGGGCAGATGTGCTCACACTGTACGTCTGGTAGCAACACGCCGGACCTAAAAATATGCTAAAAATAGCAGTTTTTACTCAACACGTCAGACTTTTTTGTCTTGTTTTGCCTGTTGTCCTTCGGGAGTGCTGCAGGAGGACACACAGGGATTTATGGGGGTTGGATGAGGAAAACGAAATAAAGAAAGTAAATCTGTGTTTTGTGATCAGTTTAATTTGACATGAACACGACAAACACGCTTTCCTGACAATCTTTGTGAGGAAAAAAAAACGTGTAGAAATAAAAACGAACAACGTGTGTTATTAGGGAAATAGCGGGCGAGCGGTGTTGATGCATGATTGCGTATGCGCCGTGAGCGGTTCTGGTACTTACTGGGTGGCAGCCGCTCGCTGCGCCGCTTCACCCCTCACGAGGAACGATGAAAATATCAAACACTCCAGAAGTCCGTGCGAGCTCACGACTGCTGACCGGTAGCTGGTCACGTGGTGTTAATCGCCTCTCGTAACCCCCGTACACTACACGACGCTCCGCACAAAACTCGCCCCGACCTTGTGGATTCTCGCACGAGTGGAAAATCGGCTCAAAAAAGTGAAAAAGTCGCACAGTGTACGCCCGGCTTTACTGTCTAAATCTTTCATTTGAAATCATATTTACATTTAGGTCTGTTTAGTTCAAATCTTTCCCCTTTAAATACCGTCCCACATGGACACAGATGATCAGTTTTTGAGGGCGTCTTCATCTATTTTTGTGATATTAAAGATAAAAAAAACCAACTTTGTTTCCAGATGAGAACAACCCTCCGAAGTCTCCGTGGGGAATTAACATCATGAAGAAGACAAAGAAGGCCGGGCCCAAAGCTTTTGGTGTGAGGTTAGAGGAATGTCATCCGGGAGTAAACAACAAGGTTAGCTCATCTGTCTTTGTCCTGATGTTGGTTTTCTCCTCTGTAATGTACGTCATTACATTCTCTTTGTGTCCTCTGTTCTCCTTTAGTTCATCCCAGTGATTGTTGAGTTCTGCTGCGGTTTGGTGGAGGAGATGGGTCTGGAATACACCGGAATCTACCGGGTTCCCGGGAATAACGCCATGGTGTTGCAGCTTCAGGAGCAGCTCAACAAGGGAGTCGACATCAACCCTGCTGAGGAGGTGAGAGAAAGCTCGCAGAGGGCTCCTATCAGCATAAGATAATAATAATAATAATTATTATTATTATTATTAAGAATGATTTGACTTTAATCAATTAGCGCTGTACAATTTGTTGTTTATCTTTAGAGGTGGCAAGACCTGAATGTCGTCAGTAGTTTACTCAAATCCTTCTTCAGGAAGCTTCCAGAACCTCTTTTCACCAATGGTGAGTCCAAACATTTCCTACCACCTGTCATTGACGTCACACATTCAAATCAAAACATCCCGTCTCACGCATTTCATCCTTCTGATGTCTTCACAGACAAATATAACGATTTCATAGACGCCAATCGGATGGAAAATCCATCGGAGAGACTGAAAACCATGAAGAAACTGGTGCGTTTTCTACATAATGTCTTCCATAAAGAGCAAGTCACCCCCAAATCAACTTTTTTCCCCTGATAAACTAAATAAACGAGTGTCTAATCGTGCTGCAGACACATGTAGTCAATAGTTTTGCACTTGAGTGCATTTTAGTTAAAATTTAAATTTTCTGCCTAAAACTGTCAGTGTTGTGCCGTTGTCAGGTAAAAACTCTGCACTGTATTTGAATTTAAATCTGCCTCTGCTATTGGCTAAGAGGTATGCTATGATGTAAACTGGTACATTATGATGTCACAATGCTGTGGTGAGTCTGTGTGTGTGTGTGTATTTGTTAGCGGCTCCGCCCTCACGGTCTACCAGGCAACAGCATTTGTTGCATTTTTTTAAACAAGAAGTGAGAGTGGAGTTAGACTCTGGTAGGGGGTGACTTGCTCTTTAAACAGCTTGGTTAACGTGTGCAGATTGGTTCTGGCTGGACCGGTTTCTGTATTTTCCTTTCTCCCCAGATCCGAGACCTTCCTGATCATTACTTCCACACTCTAAAGTTCCTGATTAGTCACCTGAAGACTGTGGCAGACCACTCGGATAAAAACAAGGTGTGTGTGTGTGTGTGTGTGTGTGTGTGTGTGTGTGTGTGTGTGTGTGTGTGTGTGTGTGTGTGTGTGTGTGTGTGTGTGTGTGTGTGTGTGTGTGTGTGTGTGTGTGTGTGTGTGGAAGAGCGTCTGTTATCAGGACTCACGACAAACTCACCTGAACTTAACTCTTGTTTGTTTTTGTGTCCAGATGGAGCCTCGTAACTTAGCTCTGGTGTTTGGACCAACCCTGGTTCGGACGTCTGAGGACAACATGAAAGACATGGTCACGCACATGCCTGACCGCTACAAGATCATAGAGACGCTCATCCAACACGTGAGAGAAACGAAGCACACGCGCCCGCTGCACGCTTGGTAAACACGCTAAACGAGTCTCTCTGTCGTTCACACAGTGCACCTGGTTTTTCACCGAGGAGCTCGATAAGGATGAAAAGGTACGTGTTTGTTCTGACATTCCATGTTCAACTTCCTCACCAAGAAAAACACGGAATTTTTATTTGTAATTTAAAGAAAATTATGATTAATTAAAAACAATATTAGCGTAGCAATAATAATGACAACGAAAAAGGTAATAACACTTTTGTTCGGCAGCTCATGCTTCAGAATAATAAAGTAAGGACAAAAACAGGCTCCAGCCTGTAGGTTTATCTGATGGTTAACATGTTTTTATTGTTTTACTAAAATCTAATTAATGGTTGGATGACTTTATTAATCCCTGAATCAAGTTTGATCATTAAAGCAGCAGCCAAGAAATCAGCATGAAAAATAGTAGCACACACCGTTAAAATCCCTATTAAAGAAACATGCAGAAGAGTAAACAATATATGGACAAATAGGGATGTCCCGATCCGATCACATGATCAGAAATCGGCCCCGATCACGTGGTTTCAGTCTGATCAGGACTCGGGCTTTACTTCCCGAGCCGGACTCGGATACTGGGTTCAAATTACAGGAGAGTAACTTGGTTCTCCTTAAAGGTTGTCAGGCTCCCCCGATGCCCTTACCTTACACACCCAGAAGATTCTACCTTTATTATATTATTTATATGGACTCAGAGTAGCGGGGATTTTTTAGAGCAGACCGCTGATTATTCATGAGCTGCATTCTGCACACGGCCACAAGAACACTTTCTACGTGGCGTCACCAAAAACATACAATTAACACACAGTCGTTCGTGTTCGTTCATTTTTATCTCTGGTAAGTTCTGTCTGTATTTGAGCATGACGTGTGGACGCGCTCGCGCTGCGGCGCTCGTCACTGGCGCAGCCGGGCAGCGCGACGCGCACACCGCTTTTTTTGCGGTCAACAGATCCATTTGATCTGCTAGTTAAAAAGTGACTTGTGAGGTGAAAAAGAAGGAAGCAGGCAGGAGTTTTTCTGGAGGACTGGGAGATGCAGGAAGATCAGCGACAGACAGGACAGGAAGACAGGAAAACAAAAACCAAGAAAACAAAACAAAGTTCTTAAAAAAATAAAATGTAGGTAGACTGATCCCACTACACGTTTGTACCTGTATAAAGCAATAATTAATCAGCATGTAGTATTTATATAGTTGATACAATTCAGATCATCTTCAAAACTCCGTCCCATGCCCAGGGACGTATCTAAGCATTTTGGGGTCCAAGGCAAATACCCTGCCAGGTATTTTAAGTTGAAGTGCGATCTGTTTTTATATTAGACTTTTTATATTTGCAACAAAGTCCAAAAGTGAAGAATTTATGTTATTTATTACTTGATTGTTCAAGCTACCTCACAGAAGTGATCTGTTGGTAAAAAATTTAATAAAAAGGTAATTAAATAAAAAATAAGGAACATTCTGGAACTGTTTCTTACTTTATTTATTTATTTATTTTTGTATCGAAAGTATCGGATCGGGACTCGGTATCAGCAGATTCTCAAAATCAAATGACTCGAACTCGAGGGCAAAAAAACCGGATCGGGACATCCCTGTGGAGAAATAAAACAAGTGAAAAACAAATGTTCCAGCAAAGATAAACGACTGTTACAGTAAAAAAGTTAAAAGCACGATGTTCAAGAAGAAAAATATCATAAAGCCTGTTTATGACAACTGTCTCAGCGAGGACGGTGGTCACACAATAAGCAGTTTAACTTGAAGGGAAAGGCCTTACATGTCTCCTCTTACGTGGGAAATTAATGGGTTTGTTTCAGTTTGGGTCCAGTTTTGAAAATATTTACAATCTTGTGAAATGTAAAAAAAAAAACTAGTAACATCTGTTATTACTCAGTAATATCACGATGACTCGGCTACTGGCAAAGAAAGTGAAAACTGAGATACTATATTATATGTGTGTGTGCTAGGGTCTTTTATCCTTCCAGCTGAAGACGGACATCCAATAGACCTGCTTGTTTTTTATACTACAGTTAAATAGCAGCAGCCAATAATGATTCATTCCTTATTAATGCTTAAGTACAGAACCTCTTAATCTCAGTATGAAATAATTAGGATTTTTAACTCTGGATTATCAGTTAATCATGTTATTAAACCTTTAAGTTTTTCTCATATTTCTTGATACGTGAACAATAATTTACAGATGAGTTAAAAATTCTATGTCATGTTTATGTTTATTTATTTAGCAGATGCTTTTATCCAACGCGACTTACAATTTATAACCTATAGGGCATGTTGTGATCTGTGGGGGAGACCGGAGTACCCGGAGGAAACCCACGCACGCATCGGGAGAACACACAACTCCACGCAGAAAGGCCGCAGCCGAGTTTCGAACCTGCAACCTTCGTGCTGCGAGGCAACAGTGCTAACCACTGCGCCACCATGCAGCCCATAGTTCATAATAAATATTTGTTTATCTAAGTTCACAATTCCAGAAAAGAACTGGTTCCTAGTTCTTTATTTTATGTGCTGTGGCGAGCTTTTACCCTCTTTTTCCAGTCGTTGCCACCCGTTAAGTCCACACTCGTACCCAGCTGCAGCTTTACCCCACAGTGTATTCAACATGAGGACAAACGTGATGCTTGAATGGCGTTTTTAGCAGCATATGGCCTGTATTTGATATAGCGCCCTCTAGAGTCCTGGAACCCCTCAAGGTGCTTTACAACACAATCAGTCATTCACCCATTCACGCACTGGTGGGGATGAGCTACGATGTAGCCACAGCTGCCCTGGGGCGCACTGACAGAGGCGAGGCACCACCGGTCCCTCCGACCATCACCAGCAGGCAACGTGGGTTAAGAGTCTTGCCCAAGGACACAATGACAGCGACAGACTGAGCGGGGCTCGAACCTGCAACCTTCCGATTACGGGGTGAGCGCTTAACTCCTGTTAACCATAGACATTGAAGAGTGGACGCTGCATCAATGGCTACTGCCTATGGTGGCCACTTTGTGGTGTCTGCTCGTCGTAATGTCCATGGTTAACAGGACGTTGTAACCTCGGCGTTAGCTCCAAGAAAATCTGGAGCTCTCAAACCCAGAGAGAACGTGGTTTATAAACCCGTTCACAAACTTTTACTGCACCTCTTTGTGGTTAATTACAGAACTCAGGCCTAAAAACACATGTATGTTGCAGGTTTTCTGCGCATCATTGTAATGTTGCAACTAATGATCTCTTCCAGGAAAACTTTCCCCTCCCTCTAATTGTTTTCTACACTAACTGAAGAACACGGAGACCGAAACATCAACACCAAATCATAACTCTGATGTTTAAACTGAGATTAGATTGAACTTTTAGTCCACAGCAGAGGCAAAACGAAACAGACTTTGTTCTGTCAGATGATTTATTGATGAGAATTGGAGCCTTTTCAACTGAAACTTCTTGTGCGTTTTTATTGGAACGTTTGAGCAGGTGTGGAAGAAGCCATAAACACACAAAGCTTTCATAGTTTTTACAGCCTGCTCAGTAAATCATTAGTATAGGTTCAGCTTCACTTCCATCTGGTCATTTATCTTTGACAAGTGGAACAGTTTATCTTTGCACTAGGGTTGGGCGATTTGCATAATTCTTCCCACCGCCAATCGTCAGTCCAAAAAAAGACGATAGGCAATGAATTTGTCAACGTCATGACGCACGGACTGATTTGGAACACAGAAGAAGCCCAAAGCATTTTTTTTATATATACAAGCACATATGTTTGCTGGAAGAGAAATTTAGATGTTTGTTTTTGTTTAATTTTGTATTTGTAGTTTGGTTGAGTGACGTTTAAGCGGCTCGTGTTAAACACGGTTAAAGTGTTAAAAAGAAGCCTCGTCTGTTTTCCCCTGTGGTGTCCACCATTGTGGTATTTTATTTAAGCAAAATGTTTTTCTTCTGAACGTCGTGGACTGCTGGGTTTCTTTCTTTTAGGAGTCTGAGTAGGAAATGGAATGAATCGCTGCTGCGTTTGGACGCCGTCTGAGGAGGCCGCATGATCCATTTATCCCCATTTCCATTTATCACTTTCGTTTTTTAAATAATGAATAATCAGTTGTTAAATTTGCATTCATTTTAATTATTATTTAGTTCAAAAGAGCTGAACAGAGTGCTCCAGTAACATAAATCTGCAATTAAACGATTTCACTTAAAGTAGGACCGTTTCACCTGCTGCGCCGCGTAAACCTGAAGCACACGTCTCTAGGGAGCTTGCTGAAGAGGTTATGAGGTTCTGGGTTTTTGCCTCAGACTCGTGGATGTTTAAATGTTCTGGATGAATCTACGCTCCGCCGATGACACACTTGAAAGCATTGGCGGTTTTAAACAGGGGCCCACAGGGGCCTGGGCGCCTATAGAACCGGCCCTGGCCCCTGTGCTGAAGAGATCGGAGTTTTTTCCCCCCGTGCTGCCTCGGAGACGGGAACTAATGCGCTGCAGCGTTTCACACGGAGCCTTTAGAGCGCAGCACACTCTGTTAACAAACAAATAAATAAGCAAATCGCCTCCTGTAAAAAGACGACCGTAACTCAGGTCTCAGCCCGTCGCCGATTCATTCGTCCCATCGCTCAACCCTACTTACAACCCTATCAGGGTAAGGGCTGAACGTGAAAATCATCTTATTACTTGTGATTTTGGCTGTTTTCTGATATTTCTTATTTAATTTTGTTATTTTTACAATAATGATATAAAATAAATAAATAGTAGGTTGTTTAATATTTCAAGGGCAGCCTGTAAATTGGCTTGTAGCGTTTTGAGCATAGCAGCTGAGCTGGGTTGGGCTGGTAACCAGAATCAACATGTCTCTGGAATCTGTTTTTACTTCTAGACTCCGGTGGACACCGAGGACGTGCAGCCCGCCCCAAACATCGACCACCTGCTGTCCAACATCGGCAGGACAGCTTTGCTTGGGGAGGCTTCAGGTGAGCATACCTTCTCTCTGCTTTTTGCTGCACGAGCCGACCGCACCTGATTACATAGAAACCACATTTAATGCTGCCTTTCGTTTAAAGCTGGAAGTCATTTATTCCCTGCTTGTATGTCAGGCCTGACTTGTACACTTATCTGAGCGAAAGTGTTGAAATAGTTTATTTATATAAAAATGATCAAAAATCATCTTCATGTAGAAAGCTGACAGGAAGTCCTTTCTGGTTCTAAGTTTGATGTAGAATCCTAAACTTTCCAACAGAACTGGAACGCAGCATAAGACCGTAGAAGGTGTAGTCTTTTAGAGCGTGTCTTTGATCGCATGCCTTCACTTTTCTCCTTTCTGCTGACCTCCTTGTTTCCTTCCGTGTTGCTCATCTTTCACTTTCTCTGTGCATCTCTGAATTTCCTTCTCTTAGCTGAGCCTGTGGAGCAGCCGCTGCGGTAGGATGGAACTCCCCTGGCAGTGTGTGTGTGTGTGTGTGTGAGCGAGGCAGAGAGGAGGTGTGTTAGTGGTGATGGCTTGTGTCTCTGTGGTCTCCATTATCCCTGAAAGCCAGCGTCTCCTCTCAGACCGAGTCTGTGTCACTTCAGTGTCGTTCCAGTTTGACTAATACCTCACGGGGCGACCAGATGGCTGTTAAAGCTGCTCCGTCTGAGTGTCCCCATCACCGAGAGGCAACTCAGTCCGCCTGTTGAGCAGCTAAAACCAGCGTTTTCAGACGGTGCGGCCCAATCATCAGAGTCCTAACCCGACTTCTGGCTCTGAGCAGTTTCTGATGTGCCACTTCAAACCCTGAGTGTGAACTGGTCACTGGTGTTACGCCTCTGTGGAAAAAGTGTGTTTAGTGAAACCTTCAGATAACCTATCAATAAATCATGCTATTAAATGAGAAGCCACATGCAATGAATGAAAAATATCAAAATTTAGGTCAATGTTAGACTGTTTGATTAGACACCAGTTTTTATGTGAATCAAACTGAGTCATAAATAATTAGTGCATGCGTTACTGAGCACATTTTAAGTTTATTAGGTTAGAAAACTGGTGCGATGAGGCTGAACTTGGCATATCTGTGACGAGCATTTTAGACCTAAAATGTGCTGCACAGACGCACAGAACGAGAATCTGCATTAAAATTTGTAGATCTCTTCCAATAGATGGACAAAATATAATAAATCTAAGTGGGAATAATCCAATTTTTATTGTCTCAGGAATAAAAACATGAAATGTTTGGGTTATTTTCATTTTAAACACACTCAAATAAACTGATAATTCCATACAAATCAATGGTCTGCTGGTTTGTTTCTACAGTCTTCCAGCTTAATCGGCTGATTATCTGTGGATGTAAAGCTAAATCTCTGATTTATCAACACAATAGGATAAATAACCGAGACGTTTCCTGAACTCTTAGTGAAATTGTGAAAAGTTAGATTCATATTTACAGTCAACATCTTTCAACTGGCACTCCAGATAAAGCTCCAGCTAGAACCCAAACCTCTCCTGGTCTCTAAAAGGAAGTATAAAGTCAGAACAGTTCACATTGTGAGGGAATGTTTCATTTATAAATGATCTGTCCGTGTCTGATGTCAGTCCTGCGTTTTTATTTTTAGTTTGGTGTGTTGTGGTTCCCTTCCTCCTCAAACACTATTCACTGTCTTTCCCACCAAAAACCATCACTTTGTAAATTGGTGTGTTTGAACTGGAAGTTGACATGATGAGAGGACGCCGAGGATGATGAGAGACATTTATATTTTTGGTTCTGATGGAAACCATCAAGCTTGAAAGTACCTGGTAGTTTTTATACTTTTCCCTTCAGAAGGCAGCCTCTGTGTCCTCTGCCATGACCGCTCAGGCTTGTTAACTGTGACTCTTCTGACCTACTGATGCTTTTATTTTCTGTTTGCACAGACTCAACCAACAGTGATCCAGGTAAACCAAAGGTAACGTATCCATCACACACACATGACCCTGCGCGGTTAAAGAAAAAGGAAAGCTTTATGTACCAGCACATGAGAAAACGTATCTTAAACATGTTGTAAAATTTAGGTTGAGTGTGCAGAAACACACAATATTCCTCTATTTCATTATTCATCACCCGTAAAAGAAAAGCATCTGCGTTAAAAACTGAGTCCGTCCTGCTGCTTAAGGGATTTAAAAGTTATAGGATCTGCCTGGATCTGCTGATGGATTTAAGGACTCCTCGTCAGTGTGTGTGTGTGCGTGTGTGTGTGTGTGTTAACACAAGGAGGAAAGACCTCAGCAATGATCTTTAGAAAAGCAGCTGAACTGTTCTGATGGGTCAAAGGTCTTCTCCAATCAGGAGTGCCTTCTACAGAGAGAAAGATTATAAAAAGGAAATGTGAAAACGTTTAAGACGGCCACTAAAATTCCAAGATCGAACGTTCTAGCAAGTTGACCCTGAGATCAGGGGTCAACACTTAAACCTGCAAAAGCAAATTTGGAAAACAAATTTGCTTAAAACATTTTCATGCCTCTTAACAATGTTCTAACATCGTATAGCTGTAAATATATTAGAGAATTTAAGAAATGAAATAAATTAATAACAGGGTTCTCTCATATTTGTCTAAAAACCTCCGCCAATACCACGTTTTGCACCAAAAGCAACTATTGAAAGTTTACCCGAACCGCCGCACTTCCCTGGCTCCTCCGCTCATCACACACTCGTGTATTTGGCAACAGAACGCCACTGGTGTGAGAGGTTCTCCGCTCAATAATACCAGTGAAGGAGAAACAGCCGGCTGTTACCACTTCAACTTTAGGACAAACTACCAGAGTCCCAAAAAGAAAATCACCATGTGAAATCCCGGACAACAAAAAACTTTTGGACCTAGGCGAGTGGTGTTTAGCGCTCTCTCGTTTACTCTGGTAATGTGGGTTTCAGGTTTCGGTAGATGTGTAACCAGTGCAGATACCCGAGGGGAGGGGTGAGTGTCCAGTCACTGTTTGTGTTCGAAGATTTGCTCTAACAGCTTTAAGAAAGAGACAAAACTATCTCAGGCTCTACCAGCCTCAGTTAACAGGTTAAAGGCTAAAGTTCATGACAGTAAAAATGGAAGATTGAAAATCCGAATGAACCCACAAGACTTCTGGAGTGATGCATTTTGGACATGAGACTAGAGTAGAGATAATTACCCATAATTCACAGCTGTGTGTTTAGAAAAAACAAACAGCATATAATCGCTAGAAGCCGATGGCAGCTGTCAGCACAGTGGTGGAGAGATGATGATTTGGGTCCCTTGTAGTCCTTGGTATACCAAAATTCCTCTAAACAAAAGAAATCTAGAGCAGAAGTTTGGAGCAAACTGGGTCATGAAACAGAACAATGACTGCAAACATTGCAGCGAATCTAAAACAGAACCAAGACTTTGTGTCACAGGGTCCAGTCCAGGACCATAAAGGGGACATTGCATGCAAAAGAAATCATCGTTTGCACACTTTTGTGCTGCCATGTGGGTCTGTACTGCCTCTATAAACACTCCAAACATGAAAAAAGATGTCCAGTCAGTGTTTGGTTTTGGGATTTATGTACCTAAAATAATCCACTTAAAAAAGTCCCCATTTGTGATGTCACAAATGGAGAAAGTAGATTAGTACCGCCTCTCACATGCAAGAGACAGCTGCTGCTGCTGGAGGAGCAGCGGCTGTACTTGGAGCCCCTCCTAGATATCGGAGCTTCTCAGTTTATAGCAGCCTGAATTGGGGGGGGGGGGGGGGGGGGTAGCTCCAGCTTGTTCTCTAAAACTGGGCGGACGCTGTGCGACTTTTTCACTCGTAGCACTCAGCTTCAGCTCAAACTGTACGACTTCCTCGCAGGGCAGATCTCACGAGTCATGTGCTCACACTGCACGACCCAGTTCTCGGATGCGACCTGACTGCTCACACTGTACGTCTGGTAGCAACACGTCGGCCCTAAAAATATGCTAAAAATAGCAATTAATACAAGACTTTTTGTCGTGTTTTGCCTGTTGTCCTTCGGGAGTGCTGCAGGACACACAGGGATTTATGGGGGTTGGATGAGGAAAACGAAATAAAGAAAGTAAATCTGTGTTTTATGATTAGTTTAATTTGACATGAACACGACAAACACGCTTTCATGACAATCTTTGTGAGTAAAAAAAAAACGTGTAGAAATAAAAATGAACAACGTGTGTTATTAGGGAAATAGCGGGCGAGCGGTGTTGATGCAGGATTGCGCATGCGCTGTGAGCGGTTCTGGTACGTTTTGGGTCGCAGCTGCTCGCAGCGCCGCTTCAACAGTGCGATACCCTCACGAGGGACGAGCAAAATTTCAAACACGCCAGAAGTTTGTGCGAGCTCACGATTGCTGATCGGTAGCTGGTCACGTGGTGTTAATCACCTCTCGTAACCCCCGTACACTACACGACACTCGGCGCAAAACTCACCCCGATCTTGTGGATTCTCGCACGAGTGGAAAATCGGCTCAAAAAAGTGAAAAAGTCGCACAGTGTACGCCCGGCTTTAAAGTGGCAGAGCCCTGAAACGGCTCATTGTGGAAGGTACTGAAACTGTCCAAAATAAAACTGCTGACATTGCTTCATGTGAGATTTAGTACAAGAACTTCATGGACATGTTTTGGAACGACCATAGAGGTATTATAGCTTAAGAAAATTGTTATAATATGTCTCCTAGAAGAGAGCTTAATGTCTGCAAACCTAAGTGAGGAGTGGACCTGAACTCTTGGTGTTGCCGCGGAAGCTGGTTCTAGCGGCTGTGGGACTCAGCTGGACCGTTTGCAACTAATTTTTACCTCATTTTTGTTTAACTGACCCGTAGAACCTGTTGTGTTTTTGTGCATTTGAGATGAGATGTGATTTGTTTTAGAACTTGGTAAAAATTGGACAAATTAAAACTCTTAACGCTGTAACGGGGAGTATTTCAGTGATTTGAGTGAGTTTTTTTCCCTCTCTTAGTGGATTTGGGGATCAAAGAAGGACCGTGGGTCAAAAGACTTCCTGGCTCTGTCCATCGTGACCGCCGTTACGGGCCGTAAACGCCACAAGGACCGCCGTGTGGGCAGCAGCACCGATGACGACTCTGAGCAAGAGCCGTTCAAGGTGGAGGATTTGCCAGTGGGAGGCCCTGCTCCTCATGCAAAAGAAGAGGAGGATGATGAGGATGAAGAGGAGGAGGAGGAAGAGGAGGAGGAAGTTGTAGGAAATGGAGAAAAGGAGGAAGTAGAGGAGCAGGTGGTACCAGTTCTTCCGTGCTGTAAAGAGGAAGAAGAGGCTGGAGGACAGCAGACAGCCATGTTGTTATCAAAGGAGGGCGTTCAGGCGGAGGTGAAGGAGCAGCCGTGGAGAGCCCCAGAGGATGCTCGCTCTATCGTATCTGGTTACTCCACCCTCTCCACTTTAGGGCGGAGTCTGGGGTCGGAGGGCAGGGGTGACGATGCTGACGATGAGCAGAGCGAGCTGGTGAGTGAGACGGACAACGAGAGCGGCTTCGCCTCCCGCTCCCTCACCCAGGAGAGACCCAGTAAACAAACGCCACCGAACCCGGCGGCGCCGCGCAGCTTCCTCTACTCTCACTGCAAACCCCCCGTCCTCTCACACACACCCCTCCTCTCCCAACCCACCTCCATCACGCACACCCCCGACTCCACAGAGAGGAGTGAAGGAGGAGGAGCGCGTTCCACTACTCCATCCTCCTCCTTTTCCTCCTCCTCCACTGCCCACAGACTCCACACACGGCCATCCTTTAACTCCCACAAGCTGATCCAGTGCGACACGTTGGCCAGGAAGAAGCTGAAGTCAGAAAAGTCCAAGGCTCGGTCCCAGGAACGCCTAGAATCTCAGGGTGAAGGAAGCGGCTCCGGGTCAGAAGGTACAGCTCGAGCGAGGAGGAACAGCTCCAGAACCAACCCCTCATCGGCGAGCAGCCAGGAGAGCTTGCTGTCCCGGTCCAAACCTGCCCTTCCACCCAGTGAGGTCGTCTCCTTCACCCCGACTGGACCCAGTGGGAGGTCTCTGGCTGAGCACGTACGGGCCCGGCTGCTGGGTTCGGCCGACGATCTGCGCAGCGTGGGGATGAGGAAACAACCGTCGCCTGAAACCCGCAGGAAGAAACGAGCATGGCGTCGACACACCGTGGTGGCCTCCCCCTCTGAGTCATCCGAGAAGAGACCTCCACTTATCGTAAACGACTTCCCGCTGTCCCCCATCAGTCAGAACCAGGTCAAAACACGCGGGCTGGCTCAGAGTGTCGATGGTCTGCACCCAGGACCGGTTCCACGTCAACCACCCGCCTCTAGATTCCACCAGTACCTGTGAGGCTTGGGGGGGGCTGACCCGGTTCCTGTCTGAGATCGGGTCAAACACAGTCTGTTTGGTTCTGATCAGCTCCATTTGCATGACAGGTGGGACTTCAGTGTTGCCAAAGTTCTTTTTGTTTTGTTTTCTTTGAGTTCTTTCTTAAGATAACACCGAACACGATGGTTGGGAATTCCAGGAATTTCAATTTAAATAACAAACGAGAATCCTTCCTGTGTCCTCCTCCTTCCTGCCTGATCCACCGGGGAGAAACGACCAGAGCAGACCACAGACCGCTTCACTCCCACTCTTCAAATAAACGGTGCTTTCCATCAAATCCATCAGATTTAAAACCCGTGACACCACAGGGAGCTCCGCTTTTAACCAGTCTTCCTAACCAGTAGCTGACCACACTGTAAAGCTCTAATTTCATCCTCTCACCAGGTGTGTCATTCACTCACAAACACACGAAACGCGCTCGTCTCTATTTGTTAATAGTTCTTGTGTGTTGGCGCTAAAGCACGTCTGAGCAGGTGTTTGTGTTTTGTAACATTTGTACAAAGCCTTGTTAAGTTAACCTTGTAAATAGAAATATGTTTCTTTTTATTTTTCTCAGTCGTTTTTTTAACGGTTTACAAAATTTGCACTTAAGTGCAGTCTTTACTTTCAAGATGTTACTTGAAATGTTCCCCTTAATATATTCTTTGTGTAATGTGTTTATATTCTATGTATAATTCTATATTTTGTATTAAAGCAAAAGTACATTATTGTGATGGGACCTCTTGGGCGTACCTGTTCATAAAAACGCCTGCTCCTTGTTTCCTCGTAGATGGCCTTTCTGGTTTTTACAGCACTGTGCAGAAATAATGTAGAGCACGACGTTCGGCGTGTAAAACTATTCAGGAACCGCACACAGCAAGGTGTTAGGGGCTGGGCTCAATTCCACCTGTAAGAGACCGCTAAAGCCTGAAAGTGTAAACGTGTGTTTTCAGCTGTCGGCGTGGTCAGAGGTCATGAATTTTCCATAGTCGGGCCCTAATAAATCCTCCCTGACTGAAGGAAAGCGTGCAAAGGAGAGCTGAAGTAGATTTTCAGTTATTAGCAGGAGGTGTGACGCCTCATCAGACCAAATCCTATTTGAAACACAAAAATTTGTTCTAATCTTACCTCAAGATTCTTCTACAAGTGCCTGATTTCTGGAATGTGTTCTTGTTCTGCGGTGCCACACACCGCTCTTATCTGTCCCCCCCCCTGTCGTCTCCGAGTCTCCCCTCCACCGTAGCTGATGCTGAAGCGACTGACCCAAAGATGTGTTCGTCAGCCGCACACAGTCGGAGGCCACTGAAGAGAGAAGGCACACTTGAAGCCAAGGACTCATCTATGCACTCGATGCTGCTACCGGGAAAAAAAAAGGCGTGGAAATCTCTCGGCTGCTTTTTTCTAACAAACTGAGGTCGTCTCTGTTTACCTGTAGCGATCCGCTGTGTGTGAATATGGTACAACCTAACAAGCCCGACCCACGAAACCACACGAGGTCAACATCCCGTTTCCTCAGAGTGAACAAACAGCTCACTGACAGGAAACCTCTTCGGCTCTAAAATGTGATTTTATCTAATGTGTTGTTGTATTTTAACAATCTTTTTTTTTTGTACATACCATCTTAATTTGTAACATATTGTAATGTGTACATTTGGGATTGATTAAGATGTAAAAACAAAAAAAAACAGACTGGACTTGAAGGCTGTTGTGTGGCCTGAAATCATTTCCCTCATGACTGTTTGCTTTAAAGCAAAGTAATATGATGTAAATAAACAGAACTATGTCTGAAACAGCAGTCCTCCGTGTGTGAGCTTGAGTTCTTGCAGCACGCACACACTCACGCACTGCTGGAAACCTTAGGCAGGAAGTGAATGGCGCCCTCTAGAGGCAGCTGATTGAGATGTGTTGACCTTCTGGCCGTGATTTGCACATAAAGGAAACTTCATAATCAGTGACGTGTTTGACTTGCATGAAATGGTTTGATGCATTAATTTAAATTTTAAAGCTTTAATGAGTATGATGGAACATGTTTATTTTTTAGAGTATCTGCATGTCTTCGCGCGTTAAACTGAGGGACATCCTTCACATGGCGTCTCCCCATCCCCCCATGGCAACAGTCCGGGTATTCAGAGCCCGCTGATGGTCTGGCCCATTTCTGGATCCTCACAAGAAAAGCCTTGTGATCATTTCTAATCTGACAAAAGCCACAGACAGCGGTTCCTCTCTGCAGCTTTTGTCTGCTTCCTGTGTTTTTGCAGCAAGCGTTACAAACACGTGACGGCTTTAATCAGAACTTTTTTTTTTATTATCATTGTAACACATGACACCACACAACTGTTAAAATGTTAACTCCGGCGTTTACTTATGCAAAACAAGACAAAAACAGAGAATAAAAAGCTGGCCCGAGTTGCTGTCATCTCTTCTGCTGGGGAATACGATGTTTATTTATTTTTATCCAAAACGAAACATGGGACAGTTTTTATCAGCAGATATGCCTACAAAGTTGACCTGAAAAACAACAAAGATCTACTATTGTTAAACACCTCGTTTTATATATATAAAAAAATCTGAATTTTGAAATATTTACATTTGCTCTTGAAGAAATTTGAAGAGGTCAGATGGAAAATAAACGTAAAGCAGCATCTGAGTGCAACGACTTTGTGTCCAGATGACGAACTGTTTACAGAGAAACTTGACAGCTGAAAACAACGCAGTAGTCCCATGTTTTACCTTCTGAACGGACCCCCCTACCGCGGTGAGCCTAGTTTGTAGCCACCTGAGCCCTGTCCCTGCTGGGCTGACTCTGCAGAAGCAGCTCCGTGTTCTGAGCTTTCAGGCTCTCCAGCTCCCGCTCCATCTCTCTGATCCGGACCTGGGAGCTCTCCGGTGCGGCCAGAGGCTCCACGGCACGCCTCAGCCGGTTGTTCTCCTCCTCCAGCCGGGACATGCATTTCTCCAGCTCCAGGTACTCCTGCAGCAGTTCCTGCTTGGTCATGTTCTGCAGGCTCTCGACGTGGTACTTCTCATAGGTCTCAGAGAAGTCCCTCTGGAGGAACTCCCCGCCAGCATTCCCGGGCCTCCCGATCCCATCGCTGCCTCCGCCGCTGCCGTCATCGTCGTCGTCTTCTTCGTTGTCACAAAAGTCCTCATCGTCGCTACCGGTGTCTTCCATGCGACCACCGACCCCCGAAGACCGCCTGGCCCCAGTCTCGGTGTTGAGGTCGGGTTCCTCTCGGTCGTGCTCGTCCATCAGGAACTGGGTGGTGTTGTAGGGAGCGACCGGGAGCCCTTTGGCGAACATCTCCTCTCTCATCCGCGAAGCCCTCACGGTCTCTCTCTCCTCCAGGGCTTTCTTCTCCTCCCATGAAAGTTTGTTGTAAGGCTTCCAGTTGCGCTTCTTCTTGGAGTTCCTGCGCCTGTGCCGCTTCTTTCCCAGTCGCGCATCCAAGCCAGTGTCGGAGTCGATGTGCAAACTCTCCACCTGAATCTGGTTAAAAGTCACCTGCAGCGCTCGGTTCCCGCGTAGGTTGTGATTAATGACCCCCGAGGAGCGGCCGTCGGGTGTCTTGTGAGGCTGGGCTGCATTCGGGTACTTGAGAAGCTGGTTTCCGGCTGCTGAGGAAGGGCACACCTCCCTCGGTCCGCCTTTCATTTGCCATAACTCGTCTCTGTTGATGTCCTCGCAGCTCTCCGCCCGCCGCTGATGATTCTGCGCTCTCTGTCGCCCCCTGTCGCCGTTCTGTGGTGCAGCATGGTTGTTGGCTGGGTGATGCTCCAAAGCGTCCCCGCTTCTCCCACCTGATGGGCTGCCCAAAGTTTCCAGGTCATGGGTCTGCTCCATTGGCTCTGTCATTCTGATGATCCCTTATGATGGCTCGGCTTCAGCGCATTTTAGAGTAAGTTCATTGCCTTGAGACTGAACTTCAAAGTTCGTTGAAAGACAAACTTTTCCTGTTTACAAAAACTCCGGATTCCAGAACAAGTTGAAGTCTCAAGTTAAAGTTTAGGTTTTCACGTCTGAAAACAAACTCATCCAAAGTCAAAATAAAGTAAATTGTTACTCCTTCAATGGTTTGTCAGAGCAACTGTCGGTAACTACCATTAACTGTTTCAGTGCTGTCAGCGTTAACGTTCTGTCAGAGACCGCGTTTCACCATCACAACTGTGTCCAGTATGCTACTTGAGAAGAGCGAGCTCGCGTTTATATACCAATCCCGCCTCCCGACGTGCGCATGCTTTCACTGGTCAAACCCAGTGCATTGTGGGAAGCGTGGTTTCATTACGTTCCAGGAAAATGCTTGAGTCTCACATAAAACTACATAGTCCATAAAGCTGCTCTAACAGATGGGCTTTTAAACCAATCAGATGGTAGAATCCTTGGCAGATAAAGCCCGCCCTTCTTTGTGTTGATTGGACTACAAGACAACTTCGCTGTTGCTAAGCTTAAACTATTTTTTGATTGGTCAGTCGTGCTATCAATCTGAAGACCGTAAGCCATACCGTAAAAAGCAGTCCCGGGCATTTTTATGGACTCAACTAAATTCGAGTTGAGGGGTAACAAGGAAACTTTACAGACTACTGATTCATTTGAATAACTTTATATCACGACATTTTAAGCCAGAAAAAAACAATAAAAAATTTTATTTAAAACACATGACACATATTTTATCTTGCCACAACATAGGTATTTTATAAATGTGATAATTCGTCGCACACCTCCTGTATTTCAATCGAAGTGAAGCCACCCTCTTAAGGAATATAGTCCGTTTTCAGAGTTCGTGCAAGAAAATAATGATTTACACCTCGTTTTTCAACATAAATTGATTTTAAGAGAATATGTATCAAAAGTGATCTTCTTGAGAGACATTGAGGATAATGGGAAGTTTCCATAGGGAAATTACGTCTTGTGCGGAGTAATACGTTGAAGAGCAGGAGCTCGGGGAACTGTGAAACCAGCGTAAATAAACGACATTTATTGTCAAGCTGCTGCCATGATCAGAACCTCGAACCCTTCGTTGTCGTTGGGTGGGTCAGGCGATCTCACAATTGCTCAATAACTCTTTTACCAGTGGACGGAGTGGTGTAGATCCGTTTTGGGGTTTTCTCCGCAGCCCCAATATGTAGTGTTTTTTATTATTGTGTCGAGTTAACCTTAGTCCACCAATGTTAGCTGAGCTATAACGTTGTTACCGAGCGAGCGCTAGGAGTTGTCGCTCGCAAACTAAACACTGCCTCAATTCCATGTTGTGTGAAGTCATAATGCACAAGAATGTATCGTGGGCACTTTAGTGTTTAACAGAATGCTTCCTAACCTGATAAATAAACGTCACATTGTATATAAAGCTAGGCTAACTAGCTCTTGCTACGCCTCTGCGTTAAAATTAAAATAAATTTAGCCGCGTTTCGAATTTAAATACAATGTTTCTCTAAAAGGTTATCGTTACATTTCCAACTAACACGTAACAGATTAGCTATTGTCCCTTTATGAAGAGGAATACACGGAGCTAGTTAGCCTTTAGCTAACTAGGCCAGCGTGTTGTGCGTGGCTCCGCGTAATTCCCGGACGATGATAATTTTACTGCAAGTTTTCCATTGTATAAAACGTCTAAATCAAAACATTTTAGATTTGATTTGTTTTTTCAGTATGAGACGAGACACGGTTTGGAACATAATTTTAGCGGACTAACAGCGGCTTATGTTTATATCAGTGGGTCACACAATCAACTCGCTTAGCTTCAGGAAGTAGACCTAGCCCAAGCTCCTATGGTAGCAGCAAATATTTGATTTAGTTAAGCCACAGTTAGCAGGTCTTAATTTAAATTTCCTCGATAATGTATCATTTTGTTTATACATCGTCTTACTTTCGTGGAGACACGATCTTTTTCACACAACAATCCGTTTAATTAAATTGATGTTATAAAATAAGTCTTGTAGTGCAGTGCAGCCTTGATTTTCTTTTTTATTCTCTGCTTTATTTTTGTTATTACATCAAACATTTTGGTTGTTCTGCAATACATTCTCAAGTCAGATAATAAACTATGCTTAACCTCATGTGTGCATGCTGTTCAGCCTTGTTTCAAATTTCCCAGTCTTTTTCATAAAGCAGTTTTTTATTATAAAAATGAGAAATGGAGTGTTTCAGCTTTGCTTTGGAGCCCATCTCGGCTTGCAAACATCAGGACTCCACTGGTTAAAAACAACACAGGCCAACTATTTCTACTAATAGCAGCAGGCCCAGTTCTACCTCTGGCGAATAATTAAGCTGAGCTGGGAATCCTTTGAGAAAGAGGCGATAAGTTCCAGTTAATGTAAAACCTGCCAACTGGTAAGATTGGGAAATCGCTCCAGGCTTCCCATATTCTCAAATCAAGGAGCAGTGCAGCTCCACTATACTCCTGCATAGATCACAGCCTGTGAGGATTAACAAGCATTACTTAATCTCTCACTGTCTAACAGGGTTGTTGCTGCTGTTGAGATGAGAGGAAAAACAAACAGGGTTAATGATCATATTTTTGATATTAGTAAAAATAAAATAATGCATTTTATGAAGATAGCATGAACAAATGGGTATTTTTTGAGCAGGAGAGCAATGATACACAAGCTGTGTCTGCAGCAGCAAGTTCCCCGCTGCTCAACTTCCCAAACCTGCTTTTTTGTGTGCAGGCGTGTCAGTGTGTTTGCCCTCTTGGATGACAGTGGATCACCTTTTCTCCAAACCACCCGGCAGTTTTGCTCTCTGTCTGTGTGTTACAACTCCTTCATGAGAAGCTGTAAAATACGGGGTTTAACATTTAATTCCCTTAAACAAGTCACCCTCAAAATGGACGCAGATAAGGTGTCAATAAACAAACAAACAAACAAAAAAGACGACGAAAGAAAATAGCATTACAGAATTTTTTTCAGATATGTAATTACAGTAAGTCACCAACAGGGGGCGCTTGCACCTCATTCATGAAAGTTAGTTTGGACCTGAACACAAAGCATATAAAAGAAGATCCATATATTTTATTATGTTGTATTTTACATTTTTTTATTTCATACATACTTTCTTTCAACCTGGATGATACATAGTTAAATAAATTAATGGTAGATTAAAAAAAGTTGTTTAATAACACCTCCTGTAACATGTAATCATGTTTTTAGCTTCACTTTTGATTTTATTTTTTATTTTTTTACCAAAGAGAACATACCTTTTTTCTTTGCACTGAGACCTTGTAGTGATTTTGTCTGCAGGGAGGGTCGATGTTGATGGATCCAGTCTTTTATTGACTGGGCGAGTAAACATTTGTTGGTGCAACATGGAGAAGAGGAGGAACAGGAGGAGAACCGTGGACCCAGTTACGCCCAGACATGGAGCGCACCGGCGGGAGAGGAGGAGGGACTCCCTCTTTACATGTGGAGATCCAATAAGAGTTGCGCTCGGTGGTCTCTCTCCGAGCCGGGGGTCCTTCTGGGGCAGCTTCGGGACACCTGCGTACCCCCCGCGGAGCCCAGACGAAGCTTTCTGAAAACTTCCAACGATGTTGGGCAGCGCTCCGTCCGCCAGCAGCGGCTCCCGAGAGCAGAGTGGGAAAGCGGCTATGAAGAGCTCTGACTCCATTAAAAGCCTCGGTAAGAAATCTGAAAAGCTCCCATAGACGCACAGCTGGTGAGGTCAGACAGAAGACGGGCGTCGGTGTTCTGATGCACCATATCAGATGCTTATTTTACATTTTATTGGTGTTTTCTCAGCTTCATTTAGACAATATTACAGAAACATTCATCTCACCTGCTGAACCTGGCTCAGATTTGTTTGCTTTGTGCCCAAACAGTCGTCTAACGAACTTAATAAAATAATGGAAATTATTTCCACACAGTTACATTAAGTTGTGTTAAAAGTAAGCAGTTTATCATTTCAATCTAGTATAGTCGTCTTGGGTCAGTCCATGTCATTTAGGTTTGCACAGTCGATTGTCCTTGTGTCAATTTGACCCACAAGTTTGTATCACTCATTTTAAATCAGTATAATTGACACAAATAAACAAATAAAGGTTGCTATTCCAAATTTTAGTGAAATGATCTGAGCTTGGAGCTGGGGTGTCTGTGCCCCAGTCTGGACCAGGGGTGGACAGTCCTGCTCCTTGAGGACTGCTATCCAGCATGTTTTGGGTGTTTCCTGGCTTTAACACACCTGATTTTAATTAACAGGTTATTGAAAGGCTCCTATAGCTGGACGACTAGCCAAAAAGGCGTTGCAACCACTAAATTGCGTTGGAAAAGGGAAACAACAAAAACATGCTGATCAGTTCCACCTCTGGTCTAGATCATGTTGCTCTCTGTGGTTTCCATAGATGTCTTTCCAGTTGGAGACACTGCTGACCTCTTTTATAACCCCTCTGTATACCATTTCAGTCATGTTATTTTTTTTTGTTCACTGCCAGCTGAAGATCTATATACAGTTTTTTTTAGTACACGTATATTTCATCTCATTATTTAATACTTAAAACATAAAGAGAACTAAAACTATAATTGATTTATTTTAATTTTCAACAGTTTAGAAAGCGTGTTAAACCTGTTCCATCTAACCAGTGATCGGTGAGCTGAATCATGAACACAATCTTTTTAAGTTACCCCAACATGAACGAATCAATCACATGGCACCTCGTTAAATTAGCATTATGCAGGTCATTCGTGTTCGTCTTACAAACTTGATGCCATTATGTAGAAACTACATGTAAGGAATAAGAGACTGAACAAACATTTCTGGGGGGGTTTCAGCGTGTGTCCCAGAGTTTATTTACCTTTTTCCAATTAAAGGGACAGTTCAGATTTTACATAGTCAGGTGAGGTTCTGTTGACGTACTGTGATCAGATAAAATCTTAGCTGGTGCAGGTTTATACCTCTTTGAATGGCCTCAGATCAGAGAAAGAGGTTGGAGCAGGGTTCTTAACAAGTGCTTAACATCTTTATTGTCAAGAGTTGAGCGATCGAGGAAACGATCACATTTTTCTGAGCATACAAGTGCACTGTCCAGATATGTGTCAGTCATCATCACTAATGAAAAAGGCTGGACAATCCTAAAAAAGCTCCTTGAAAGGCTTGAGAAGTGTTTATGTTTATGTATTTAGCAGACGCTTTTGTCCAAAGCGACTTACAAGTGATAATCGGCATGTTGCCCTTGAGGCTAACAACAACAATAACAACAACAACATTGACATCAATCATGGAGAGTAGGGAACAAGGAGTGGACAGTAGAGAGGGGGGACGGGTGCAGGGAGGGTGCTAGTTTAGAAGATGCTCTCTGAAGAGCAGGGTCTTCAGGAGTTTCTTGAAAGTCGAAAAGGAAGCCCCTGTTCTGGTAGTGCTTTCAAGGTCATTCCACATTTGTGGAACGATGCATGAGAAGAGTCTGGATTGTCCTGAGCGTGGTGTAGGCACTGCTAGCCAACGATCCTGTGATGACCGGAGCGGCCGGGCCGAGACGTAAGCCTTTGCAAGAGGATTCAGGTAGATGGGAGCCGTACCATCTCGGACATTGTATGCTAGTGTTAGCAATTTGAATTTGATGCGTGCTGCTAGCGGTAGCCAGTGGAGCTCAATGAACAGAGGGGTGACGTGTGCTCTTTTTGGCTGATTGAAGACCAGACGCGCTGCTGCGTTCTGGACCATTTGAAGAGGTCTCACAGTACAGGCTGGAAGACCAGTTAGAAGGGCATTGCAGTAATCGAGGCGGGAGATGACAGTAGATTGCACCAGGAGCTGGGTGGCATGTTGTATTAGGTATGGTCTGATCTTTCGTATGTTATACAGCGCAAAGCGGCATGAACGAGCAACAGAGGCAACGTGATCTTTAAAGGTCATGTTGCATCATCAATCACAACACCCAGATTTCGAACTGCCTTTGAAGGAGCCAGAGATAGGAAGTCATGTGTGAAAGGTAACAGAACCCTGTATGTTCTGACCAGACAGGTAAAGTGTCCTAAAACAATTCTAATAAAAAAAAATCTAATCAGTTTATATAAAAACTGTTTAATAACCTTGACATTGTAAGGAATGTCACACTTCATAGTTATTCTGCAGAATGATTCCTGTCAGAGTGAAACCAGCTGGAATTTCCTAACACATTTCCTTTACCTCTGTTGCAAGAACACACAGGAAGACCTGCACCATCCCTAAAGCTGCTGTCTCATGGCCGTTGTGGTAAATGACAAGAGTTTGCAGGATGAGATGAGTCTGACTCCGAGTGGTTGTGTTTGTCGGTCAGGAGGATCTGACCTGCTGTGATTCAATCCTCCTCCTCTCCATGAGTCCATGAGCAGCCACACCTAGCCCCAAAATAGACTCCTGCCTTGCAGCTGCAGTCCACCTGTTAGAATCTCTAAGACTGGAGATGTCTGGAAACCTGGATCACACTTGACTTAGTTACCCTTCACACACTTGTGATATTTCTGTTGGCTTTTGATTGATTTAAATTGTTTGCAGAACCATTTTCTAGTGAATCCAGCTGTTAGAACACAACTAGGTTTTGATGTTTAGGTGCATGTTTACTCAGAGAATCAGGCCGCTGCAGACGGGGCTGGTGCTCACACACCTCACACACACTTGATGAGTTGCGCCAGCGATGAAACTCTCTGATGAGAACATTTAATATCTCGCTGCAGAAGCTATAAGTAAACCTCCTGCTCAGACAGTGAGGTCAGCCATCACCTGACTCTTTATGACTTAAGTCCTTTTTAACTTACGGCATCCACAGCACAGCCAGATTGAAAGATTTTTTGTCACATGGTGTCACGGGACTGTTTTAACTTCTTTGTGCAACAGGTTCTCGTGTAGTTAAAGCGTGTGAGGAAGAATTAGGTTTGAATAATGATGTTATGGGTTTCATTTTTGATTTTCTGTGTCATTAAAGGGACTTTACGGACTTTCGAATTTTTATGCTCGCGATTGCCCCCTCAGGCCAAAAGCGTAACGGCAGCTTCAATAGTAGGCTCGTGCACGAGGCGCGCATGCTGTACGTGCACACTCCTTAACGAAAATAACAGCTGAGACAGTCCTGTGTGTGTGTGTGTGTGTGTGTGTGTGTGTGTGTGGCCCGGAGGACAGAGGACAGGAGAACGCAGAGCTAATTAACAGGGGCGTAGCACTAAATTCTGGGCCCTAGGTACAAGTCTTCTAGGTGGGCCCCCATGCTCAATTACTTAATATCTCTCTTACACATTTTTTGTCATGCTATTGTCAGAGTCCAAGCCCCCAGGCCGGGCACTTCCAGCTGACCGGCTTCTGTCTCGGACCATTACCCAGCATGCCCCTCGCGGGGATTCCCTCCACGTTGCACCTGCGTCATCCATGTCTATATATGGAAGACACCACACCGGCTCTTCACTCAGTCATCGTTCCACCGTGTTCCATGATCAGAGTATTCAGAAGCTAAGACAGTTAAACCTCCACCTTTCTAACTCAGACCTCATCCTTCCGTCAGCCTTTTCAGCACCGCTTGCAGCCAGCAGTCTCTAATAAAGCTCTTACCCCCGAAACCAGTCTTCGAGTCTGACAGCTATAATACAAGACAATAAATATGATCTTAGTTTAACCTCTATATTGAGCAAATACAAATGCCAGCATAATAAAAGTGAAATGCCCAGACTTCACATATAATTATTTTTATTTGCCAACAATGTGTTCAAACAAAAATCCTGGAATTTATTTTCCAGTAAATGCCCACTGACGGGTCTTCATGTTAGCAAAATCACTTATGAGATGTTTAAAGTCCAATCCTTTGGCTAATTGGCTTTCAATAGAAAGAAGAGCTAGGCTGTTCAGTCTATCCTGGGACATTGTTGATCTCAAATAATTTTTCACCAGTTTCAGTTTGCTAAAAGCCCATTCACCCCAGCAACAGTCACAGGTAGTGTGCAAAAAATCCTCAGTCCAATACAAACTTCTCCAAAAATGCTCTGTAATTGCATCCTGTAGATGGCATTAAGCAGCTCAAGAGGAGACCGAATGTGTGGAAATGTGGCACCATATATTGTTCTCAGGTGTAGCATCTCATTCTCAAATTCAGCTGTGAGATCCTTGTAATATTTTCTCATCAGTGCCTGGCACGATATCTTCATCTGCTCTTCAGTCATGTCTGTCATGGTTCATGATGTTAAGCTTTGCTGATATGTATTGATATATTAAATACATATGACATGAAATAAACCAGGTTCTCTCTGTGAATGTAATGTGCTCTAAATTTTATAATCCCTGCATTATCAGCCAAATTATAAGATTGTCCGTTTTCAAGATCAAATTTAAAGAAATTTAAAATAGGCTTAAAATATCTAACCAAGTCAATAACAATCCTCTAACACCAGTGTCATCATGCTATACGAAAAACAGCGGCAGCTTCTCATTCCTGAGATTACCACGAATCCATCGATACCAAGTTTGTCCTGGTCCATGACTGGGAAGGAGCTGAAATATCCACACAGAGTGAACCTGTTTTTACTGCGAGGTCCGCGAATTAATTGGCGGCAGCCGCCCGCGATAATATTTCTGATTAATATATATATATATATATATATATATTAATTAGTGTTATCACTGATAACACTAATTAATTTATATTTGATCTTGATGGTGAAAC